CCCAACCCAACCCCCGCCCACCCCTGCTCCTAGATCGGGCCCAGCCTCAACGGCTCCGCCAGAACAGGCCCGCCTCCACAACCTGATCCGCCAATCCCAGACCCGCTCTGTCCTCGATCCCCGCCCCTGGGGCGCCCTCGGGCTTGGCCCTGGCCCCGCCCCCTCCCCAGACGAGCCCCGCCTCCAGGTGCCTGAGCCGATCTCAGTCCCACCCGCTGAGTGCCCCAGCTGCTCCCCAGCACCCCCTCCTTGTCCCTGTCAGAGCCTGTCCCCCACCCTCCCAATCCGCAGTTCACGGTCCCTACCCCAGGCCCGCGGTTCACCTGCCAGGCAATCTACCCCGCCCCAGGGCATCCTCCGCGACTGGTAGACTGACCCCTTTTGCTCGGGCAGGGCAGTTTGAACTCCCCGGCCGAGGACACGAAGCGGGACCAGTCCTCGATGGCGCGCGTGAAGCAGGGCCAGTCCACTCGGTTGATGCCCGGCGCCACCGGCGCCAGCTTTCCTTCACGGTACCTATTGCGGAGCTTCTGACCCGTCGCGGTGATGTCCTGCCAGGGCGATGGGGGTCAGGGCGATAGATGGAGGAGCCGGGGGATGGAGGAGCATCCCAGGCCACACCATAGCCTGAGCTGACTATGGCCCATCTGACCCATGGGGTGCCCGAAGCCAGGAACCCGGATGGGGTGGTGATTGGAGGGGTGGCCCAAGCGGGCAGCTAAGGAGGCACTCGGGAAGTACGTCCCAGAACCAAGGGTGCTTGGGACTGGTGTCCCTTAGCAAATCCAGGGCCGGGGCAAAGGACACTCACCAAGCACTGAAGGGGTTTGTTGGGGACACCGAGGAGTGTATAGTGGGCGTTGTCAAACTCATCTGTTGAAAGAAGAGAAAGGGAGAAGAGGTGTCATCACCAGCTGACACAGGCCCACACAGAAGAGCTTTGGCCCACACTGTGCTTTAGTTTTTTGGAAAAATATTTGATGACTTTTAAAAATCTAAGATAAAATGGTATTTCCATCTCACCCTTAGAATAAATTTCAAATAGAAAAAAAGATTTCAATGTAAAAAATGAAACCATAGAAGCACTAGAAGAAAACATGGGCAAATTCCTTGATAATTTTGGGGCAGGGACGGCCTTATTAACTCTAACTAAAAATCCAGAAGCTTTAAAGAAAAAATTGGAGACTATGGCTACATAAAAAAAACCAAACTTCTGCATGGCAAGAAAACATAAAATAAGTCAAAAGACAAGCGCGAGTAAATCTCTTTAATGTTGAAAGAGGGCCTGGAAATTAACACTAAAGAAAAAAGCAAAACATGATGACTTGTGCCTATAGTCCCATCTACTCGGAAGTCTGAGGCGATGTTTGAACCCAGGAGTTTAAGAAGACTAGAAGACTAGCCTGGGCACTGAGTAACACACCAAGATCCTGTCTCAAAAAAAGGAAGGAAGGAAGGAAGGAAGGAAAAGATGGGTAAACAAAATACATAGGTAGTTTACACAAAAATAAGAAAAACATATGGTCTCTAAACATGAAAAGACATTTAATCTCATTCATAATAAGATGAATGCATATTCAAGTGACATTAAGATGCCAATTTTCACCTATAAGATTGAAAACCATCCAAAAGTCAGTGCAGTTATTGGAAGCAGGGCCTTTTTCATACATTGCCAGAGATGAGTTTCAAGTGGAGCCTCTGGGGAGCAACTGGTATTATCTAAAAGAATTATAAATCCACGCCTGCCTTTTGACCTCACAGTCCTATTTCTGGGAATGTATTCTATTTTACAGCTACACAAGTGACGATGTGGATGGAAGGTTACCCATTTCAGTGTTGTTTGTAATCGCAAATGATTGGAAATGACTCAAGTGCCTGCCATTAAAGGACAGGCTAAATAAACGATACAACAGTCTCACTATGCAGCTATTTTCAAAAAGTTGAGCAAATTTCCTATATAAGACCTTCAAGGTGCAGAAGTGTGTGTACCGTATGTTACCATTTGCTTTAGAGCCTCAAATTGGAGACAGAGAAGAATATACATTCAGGTCACCACTTTAGCCAAATTATTAGACTCAACATCACGAGTAGTGAGATGATGACATTATGTGCCTCCTGCTGCAGTGTGATGCAAACAAGTCATCCTGTCCATCACCTGTGAAAGATTCCGACCAGCAGTGTTTAACCTGGCTATTCAAGCCTCTGCACCTAGCTTCTGGTTTACAGAAAATAGATTAACAAAGTGAAAAACACCTTAAGGAAACATTCTCATTCACCATGTGGGACTATCTATAACACAACTGTTTGGGATCCTTTAAAAAGTCACTATTAGCCGGGCTCGGTGACTCAGCCTGTAATCCCACACCTTGGGAGGCTGAGGTGAGTGGATTGTCTGAGCCCACAGGTTCGAGACCCGCCTGGGCAACTTGGTGAGACCTCATCTCTACAATAAATCAAAAATCAGCTGGGCATGGTAGCGTGCACCTGTAGTTCCAGCTGCCTGGAAGGCTGAGGCGGAAGGATCGCTGGAGCCCAGCAGGTCGAGGCTGTGGTGGCTGGGAGCAGCCACTGCACTCCAGTCTGGGTAACAGAGACTCCAACTCAAAAAATAAAAAATAAAAAATAAAACAAAAAGTCACTATTATGGGGGGGGATGGAAAATGGGTGGACCATTTTAGACTAAAGACATAACAACCAATTGCAATGCATAATCCTAGATTGAATTCTGGTTTCTCCCCCCAATTTTTCTAAAGCTGTAAAAGATAGGCTGGGCATAGTGGCTCATGTGTATAATTCTAGCCCTTTGGGTGGCTGAGGTGGGAGGATCACTTGAGCCCAGGAGTTCAAGACCAGCCTGGGCAATATAGTGAGACCTTGTCTCTACAAAAACAAGAAAATATAAAAAGCTAACCAGGCATGCTGGGGTACTTGAGAAGCAGAGGTAGGAGAATCACCTGAGCCCAAGAGGTCGAGCCTGTGGTGAGCCATGATCATGTCACTGCACTTCAGCCTGGGTGGCAGAGTGAGACCCTGTCTCAAAAAAAAAAAAAAAAAAAAAGACATTTTTGAACTAACTGGGGAAATTTTCATGTGGTCTGGATATTATATGTTATGAAATTATTGTTAATTTTCTTAGGTGTAATCATGCTATTGTGTCATGTAGGAGGCTGTTCTTATCATTGGGAGCTGCTTGCTAAACTGTGTCCACGCATGGAGGGGATAGAAGGGGGGAGGAGGGAGCGAGGCAAAAATATGGCAAATATCAGCCGGGCTCGGTGTCTCAGCCTGTAATCCCAGCACTTTGGGAGGCTGAGGTGAGTGGATTGCCTGAGCCCGCGGGTTCAAGACCAGCCCGGGCAACTTGGTGAGACCTCATCTCTACAATAAATCAAAAACTAGCCGGGCGTGGTAGCACATGCCTGTAGTTCCAGCTGCTTGAGGTTCAGGCGGAAGGATCACTGGAGCCCAGCAGGTCAAGTCTGCAGTGGCCGGGAGCGGCCACTGCACTCCAGTCTGGGTGACAGAGTAAGACTCCAACTCAAAAAAAAAAAAATATGGCAAATATCAATTGAAGCAGGTGGCTGGCAATGAGTGCTCATGGTACTATTCTTTCAACTTTTTTGTGTTAAAGTGTCTATAATAAAAATTAAAAATAAAATCCTAAGCCCCTTCCACCGACTGAACAGACCCCCTCCTGTCCAAACGGACCCCAGAAAAACCTTAAAAGACTAAAGTTAGACACACCTTGTCACACCCTTTCCCTTTTGTCGATTAGACGCAACAGCTGACCAGCATTAATATTAAAACAGAGATTACAAGACTGACAGAACAGACTCTTTGTGGCAGTCAGATACCAAATTATAAACCTAAGGCTATGCCAGGCAAGGGTTAAGTCACGCATCTCTATACTTAAAGAATAAACTATATTCTAACTGCCATAGGGCAGTTAACCTACAAGGGCTTTCTTTTTCTCTAGTAGGTAAACAAACACTTGAGGTAAATATTATTAAAGCATTTGCAATTCATCCAACTCATGGACACTGACTAACTGGTCCCCTGTTCCACCAGCCATAACTACAACTTTCGTGGGACAAGAGACTGATTTCAGTATTTTCTCCTAAGAGTACCAACCAACCATGGACTGGTTCTGGCTGGTTTATAGAGACAGAGCACTGAAGTGCTTTTGTGTCCTAAAAAGACCTTTTGACATATAGGGCCTAACTGTAACACATTTAAATGTTAGGTCCCCACCCCAAAATGAACATGCATGTTTATTCAGTATGCATGTGTCAGGACTACCTTCATGGATACTCATAACTCCTTCTGTAACCTGTTGAATATGTATGTTTAGTCAACCTGTTCAGCATAAAGCCCCAAGCCCTCCTCCTTCCAAGAGCCTGTTCTGGGCTTGGTGGAAAGCACCTTCCCAGCCTGAGGGATTGCCACCTTGCAAGCTGTAACCCCTTATAAGGAATAATGTCTTGGCCAGGCTCAGTGGCTCAGCCTGTAATCCCAGCACTTTGGGAGGCCAAGGTGAGTGAATTGCCTGAGCCCGTGGGTTTGAGACCAACCCAGGCAATTTGGCAAGACCGTCTCTACAATATTAAAAAAAAAAAAAAAATCAGCCGGGCATGGTAGTGCACGCCTATAGATCCAGCTACTTGGAAGGCTGAGGCAGAAGGATTGCTGCAGCCCAGCAGGTCAGCACTGGGGTGGCTGTGAGCATGCCATGCACTCCAGCCTGGGCGATGGAGTGAGACTTCAACTCAAGAAAGAAAAAAGAAAAAAAAGAAAGAAAGAAAGAGAAGAAAAAGAAGTAATGTCTCCTTTTCTAAATGTATAGATTTCTGATTTTTTTAACTTAATAATAAAAAATTAGCCGGGTTCGGTGGCTCAGCTTGTAATCCCACGCTTTGGGTGGCCGAGGTGAGTGAATTGCCTGAGTCTGCGGGTTCAAGACCCGCCTGGGCAACTTGGCGAGACCTTATCTCTACAATAAATCAAAAAAATTAGCTGGGCGTGATAGCACGTGCCTGTAGTTCCAGCTACTTGGGAGGCTGAGGCAAAGGGATCGCCAGAGCCCAGCAGGTCGAGGCTGCGGTGGCTGGGAGTGTGCCACTGCACTCCAGTCTGGGCAACAGAGTGAGACTCCAACTCAAAAAAATAATAATAATGATAATAATAAAAAGTTGAGGGATCAAAAAGCATATGCTTGTTTTTATATTAATAAACAATACAAATATACATTAGAAACTAATCATGGTTACCTGTAAGAGAGACTTGTCCATGTGTACGTTGTTACAGCATTTTGAGTTTTGAAATTGTAACTCTATGACTTTTATTTAAAGCATCTGCTTACAATAAATGTATATCTAAATCAGAGTTTTTCCTAAAACTCTAGATTTCTGGCTTCCCTTGGAAACAGGAATTTGGAAGAACAGATGCCCTCGCTGGCCCTTCCCACACAGCATGGTCAAAGGGCCTTGAGCTACTTCCCTTTAGACAGGGCAAGTCACTCCACTTTCCTGGAGGTTCTTCCTCCCTGGTTTCCCATGGGGCCCTGTAGGGGTCTGTGTGGCACCCCAGGCGATCTCCATGCAGTGTCTGACACCCTTACCCTCTCCTGCCACCCACCCCACAAACCCAAGTATGGCCCTGGAATCTCTGTCTTCCCCTCCTGTCTCCCTGCACTGGCTCCTATTGATTTTATCTCCTAAATACCTTCCAAATCCCTCTACACGCAAGCTCCTCAGTTCATGCAGGGTTATCCCCTGGGTCTGTGGGGCCCTTTTACCCTATAGGCTCACATGTCCTCTTCTGATGCATGGGGCATGTAACAAGGGTTCTTTCCCTTTTCCAGATGGAGATGGCTGAGTGAAAGTTGTTAATGTTGCTGTTATTATGACTCCCAACACTGCACCTTCCCACCTCCACCCAGGTCTCTTTCCATTAATAATAACAACGCCAGCAACGTTTGATGAGCACATACTATGTGCTAGGAACTTCTCTAGGTGGTCTTTGCGCCTCATCTCTGTTTATCCCCATGACAGCCCCTGTCATCATCTCATTTTACTGTTAAGTCAACAGAGGCTCAGACCTTGCCAAGGTTTCCTGGCAAGGAAGGTTTCCAAGCAGAGCCAAGACTGGCCCCTCTGATCCTTTCATCATCCACTCACAGCTTCTCCCTCGAGATCCCTTTTCTCAAAACTATCCACCCCTTCCCCCAAAGAGCCAAGGGGGATACAGTGCTGGTGGCCTGACCTTTGTGGCAGTAGGTGGTGGACTGGCAGTGCTCGTCGGAAAGGCAGGCCTTGACGGAGTCCATGTCCATGCGGCGCAGGGTGGGCAGGGCCGGGTGATAGAGCTGCTGCTTCACAGCAGCCAGCTGGTTGCGCTGCCGCTCCATAGGAAGCAGGATGGCCGGGGACGCGTACACATGAGCGGAACCATCGTCCCAAGGCACCAGGTCAATGATACGGGCCATAGCTGGGAGGCAGAGGGTGCCGAGGGCTCACCCTGGCTCATGCCAGCCAGACACCCATCTATATAGGAATGTAACCTTGGCCAGTGCTGATTTGTCTGCCTGTCAAACACATATTGAGCACCTACTGTGTGCTGGGCCATTTTTCAACTCAGCATGGAGTGGCAGGAACACTCAGACAAGAGAGGCCCCTTTCCCCAATTCAGCACACATACAGGATGCCCTGAGGACTGTGAGAGAGGTCAGTATAGGGTGTGTGCATCTGGGGAGGCTGGAGTTAGAGTACTCAAGGAATAGCCTTAAACAGATGGCATTTATGTCTATTTTTAAATAACGAGCAGGAAAAGGCAACAGCATGTAGGTTCAGGATGCAGCTCACTGGGTGTATGCCATATGCCACTGGGTGAATAATTACGGACTTGCCTTAACTAAGGGATTTACCCAAACTTCTACAGAGTGATATAGAGAAGTTTTGAAGAAGGGGAGCGACCTGATAGATTTGAACTAGAAAAACATTGCTGTTTACCCGGTGACTTCCTTATAATGCAGCCATTCCCAGGAGTCTTTCAGTCTTTTACACTTCAGTGAGAATTTGTTGAGTCAACTTGCTCTCTTCCTGGCTCTGCATTAGAGGTGAGAGGAGAAGAAGGTGGCAAGAGGAGAGAGGACCTTAGCTCATGGAGGAGTAGGGTAGGAGCATGGTGACAAGGCATGGGAAGGTGCCTCTGGGGATGGGGCTGCCTGGGGGGGGCGTTATATGAGGGGGAAGCCCCCCAAATCGGAATTTATTTATTTAAAATTGTGTATTTATTCTCACATTTTCAGACTTCAGTCACCTTCAAAGTACCCTTCATTTGATGCAATCCACCTAAGAGATGCCTTTTCTGCAGCAAACAGTTTATAAACTCCTCAATTTTTATGCCTTCTAGTGCGTCTGCTGTTTTTTGTTTCACCTATTCCACATCAGCAAAATGTTTCCCTCTGAGGGCCTTTTTCATCCAGGGAAACAAAAAAAAAGTCAGGGCAAGATCCAGTGAATAAGGAAGGAGGGGTACAGGGGCTCATGCCATTTAGAACCGCTGAACACTCAGCACAGGGTGGGCAGGTGCTCTTGTATATCACCCCTCACAAAATGGGCAAACATATTGAGAGAACCTCCAAAAAAATTTCACTGAAGCCGAACCCAGATGCCTACAACAACACTAGCAGGTACATTGCTGCTGATGGACTCTTACAACACTCACCTAGTGGGGGAGGCCTGTACTACAAGGGGCCCATCCTCCAAATTATAATTCTGGGCTTTTGGGGTCCCCGCTCATAAATATATAATGAAATTAAGAGGGGGAAGAGAGGGATCCCTGACTTTGACCCACCGACCGCAGCTACCTCATTTGCAGGGCAAAGGCCCAGGTTCACAGGCTTATGAGGACTTTCGGCTCTTCGACTGCTCAATGGGCAGAAGAGGAAGTGAGGAGGGCAGGGCCCCGGGGCCCCAGGGACAGCAGCAGAATAAAGGAACATTGTGCAGAGACAATGCCCACCTCAGCCTGATTGTGAGGCACCCACTCCTTGGCAACCTGGCAACTGCGGGCTCTGGGAAGAGCCCACTGCCAGAATCCCTGTGTACTGGCCACTCCCTTCCAGGCTTTCTGAAGGCTATGGCCTCCCAGGCCTCAGTACAGGCCAGGCATCTTGGAAAATGTCAGACAGGGAGCTGGGGCTCCCCAGAGGTGGCCAGCCCAGGGCAGGCCAGGGATGGCTGCTGAGGTCTCCTCAGGCTGTGTGACTCTGGACTAGTCACTGTCTCTCTCTGGGCTTCAAGGCTCCCCTCTGTGTTAGGCAAGGGCTCTAGGCCCTGCTATTAGGGGGGATCTGGGAGCTGGGAAGTTTCTCTCCTCCCTGTGAACCTCAGAGAAGAGGGCACTGCCCTGTCCGCCAGCCCTTGGGTCTCCAGGGGTAGAGATTAATTGTGGCCAGTATCCAGGGTAAGCATGAGGGGATCAGGGAGAGTGGTGGCCTCAGCAAGCCAGGGATTAGTCGGTGATACTCCACCCCCAGGTCCCTGAAGGTCTGCAGGCCTCCTCCCTCCCAGGAAAGCCAGCATCTGAGGGCCTGAGCCCAGTACCCCAAAGCCCTGAGGCCTGCCCGCCACCCTGGGCACAACCATTACAGATCACTGCCCATGTGAGGAGCCCTGGGAGAGTTGAACTCATGTGCATATACTGGCATATGCTTTGCATAGACCTGCCCAGGTGCTGAGTCCTATGGGTCCTGGGGCCCCCACTGTGTGATTCCTGTAGGATTGTGTTCCCCAGTTGCTGTTCCTCCAGTGTTCCCTGCAGTCCCCAGAAGAGCAGCCCAGAGCTGACTCCATTCACCACTCTACCCCAATTCATTTAACACTTTAAAAATGATAAAATAGAAAAAAATACAAAAAGTGCATAAATATATAATGTCACTAATTTATAAGGCGATACTCCATAAAACTACCACCCAGGTCAAGACATGGGGTACCACTTGTGAAATAGTTTAGAAGTTTCTTTAAAAAGGGAAGCAGGGCTGGGCTCAGTGGCTCAGTCTGTAATCCCAGCACTTTGGGAGGCTGAGGTGAGTGGATTGCTTGAGCCTGCGGGTTTGAGCAACTTGGCGAGACCTCATCTCTACAATAAATCAAAAATTAGCCGGGCGTGGTAGCGCGTGCCTGTTCCGGCGACTTGGAAGGCTGAGGCGGAAAATACACCATAGGATTATGTCATATGGAAGATTCTACCCCTATGAGAGATGACAAGAGAGATGCGAGTACATGTCCACACAAAGACTTGTAGTTCAATGTTCATAACCAACATTGTTTGTAGCTAAAAAGTGGGACCAGCCCGAGTGTCCCTGGACTAATGAGTGGATAAACAGACTGTGATCTGTCAAGACCATGCAATACTCTCAAGAAATACAGACAGAAGGGCTGGGACAAGCTATGAGGTGGGTGAACCTCAAAACCTTCTGCAGCAAGAGAGAAACCAGACATGAAAACCTCACATGCTGTGTGATCCTTCTATACTGAATGTTGAGAAAAGGAAATCTATGGGCAAAGAAAGCAGACTGATGGTAGCCTGGGGCTGAGGGCAGGAATGAAGAATGACTGTCATTTGGCATGAGGGGTGTGACTGGGGCGATGTGAATGTTCTAAAACTAGATGGCAGTCATAGCTTCATGGTTGTCAATTTGCTAGAACTCATTGAGTTGTGCACTGAAAATGGGTGAATTTTAAGGCATATAAATTATACCCCCATCACGTAGTTTAAAATAAAAGATGCCAGCCTGGGCAACATAGTGAGACCTCGTCTCTACAAAAAGCCAAAAAAATTAGCTGGGTGTGGTGGCACACGACTGTAGTCCCAGCTGCTCAGGAGCAGCAGAAGGATCACCTGGGCCCAGGAGGTCGAGGCTGTGGGGAGCTATGATTGTGTCAGGATGACAAATTGAGACTTTGACTCAAAAAAAAAAAAAAAAAGATGCCAACCAACTTAACACAAGAAAGCAAGACATGGGGCCCTGCCAGTTCCTAGAAACCTCCACTACCCCTCTCCAGTTACAACCCCAGCCCCAAAAGTGGTCATCACTCCCCTGCCTTATAGTAACACCTCTGTTTTTTTGTTTGTTTGTTTGTTTTTTGAGTTGGAGTCTCACTCTGTTGCCCAAGCTGCAGTGTAGTGGCATGCTCACTGCCACTGCAGCTTCAACCTGCTAGACTCAGGTGATCCTTCCGCCTCAGCCTTCCAAGTAGCTGCAACAACAGGTGCGTGCTACCACACCTGGCTAATTTTTTGATTTATTGTAGAGATAAGGTCTCGCCAAGTTGCCCAGGCGGGTCTCAAACCCCTGAGCTCAGGTAATCCTCTTGCCTCGGCCTCCCAAATTGCTGGGATTACAGGCTTGTGCCACTGCGCCCGGCTTTTTTTTTTTTTAAATAGTTTTACTGCCCATGTCTTCAGTCATAGATAAAACTGGTTAATCTTGCCTTTTGGGAACTCACTGTGCACGACCCATGGGGGCCTTTCCCTCCATATACATGAGATCCAAGCGTGTGTGGTGCATGACTGGGGCTCGCGCATCTTCCCCAACCCAGAGTCTGTCACTCTTTACCCAGGCCCGCCTGACTTTGCCCTATGCCCCTCCACAGGGGCTCCCACCTCCTCCATACTGTCCAACCCCGGGGCGCATCTCGAGCTCAGCGAGGTGCATTTGAGCAGCCCCCTGATCACGCCTTACTCCAACACAATCACTGCTCTGGGCTTTCCCCTCGCCCCACACCCCAGTTCTCCTACCCTCTTCTTCACTAGTTCCTGTTCCTTCCCCACCCTCTGTACATGCCCAAGTGTTCCAGGTGCCACCGCTGTCTTCCTCATTTGCCTTGGATTCCCCAGGTGATCGCAGTCAGTTCATTGGCTTTAAGCATCATCTACAAGCTGATGCCTCCAAACTTTCTATTTCCGGTCCACCTCTCCCTAAGCTACACACACAAACACACACACCATTCCTCACTGCCTGCTACACATTTCCACCTGGACCTCTCTCAGACTTCTTTTTTTTTTAAGTCGAGGTCTCACGCTGTCACCCAGGCTGAAGTGCAGTGTCATACTCATGGCTCACCACATCCTCGACCTCCTGGGCTCAAGTAATCCTCCTACCTCAGCCTCTAGAGTAGCTGGGACTACAGACATGTACCACAACACCTGGCTAATTTTTTGTAGAGATGAGGTCTCACTATGTTGCCTTAGGCTGATCTCAAATTTTTAGGCTCAAGCAATCCTCCCACCTTGGCCTCCCAAAGTGCTAGGATTATAGGAGTGAACCACCACACTGGACCCTTTTTAAAATTGTGCTCTCAGACTTCTCAACATAGTAGAGTTCATGATTCTCCCTCTAAAACTATTCCTCCCAACTTCCAGCTTTGGTTTCTCCTTTTCAGTAAATGTGCCACCAGCCACCCAGCCGCCCAGGCTGAGTTCCCTTAATGCCTCTCTTTTCCCTCCCCTATCTTCTCCTGTCTCTTTTGGCACCAGCATAGTCCAAGCCCCATATTCTCTTCCCAACAGACGGGAGGCAAGGGTCCCCAACACAGACAGTCACTCACAGGCCCAGGCAGAGGAGAAGGGCCCACTGGTCCCTGCAAGGGCCTGGCTGGAGGTGCCATGGGGAACAACTCTGACTCCCTGCAACCTGGTGTGTGTATAAGGGAAGGGCAGGGGCCGCTTTGAGATTGGTCCCCGGGGCTTGGCCTTGCTGGCAGAAAAAACACTCTTCCTTGACATTTGTCTGACTGGGTTGTTTATCAGAGGCCTTGAAGCCCAGCTCTAGAAGGAGAGCCTAGGGTCAGGCTCGTCCCTCAACTAATTGGCTTGTCCAATTGGCTCATCCTTCAACTACCTGACACGTTTTCTGCTTCCACAACTGCCCACCACACAGCAACCACACAGATCCCATCCAGCCCCCGTTCAAAACCACCATGGGCTTCCATGGTCCATCAACTAAACCCAAACTCTTCACCGTGGCCTAGAGGCCTTGCGTGATCCAGCCCTGCCCACCTGTCGACCTCATCTCCCTCCACTCTCCCTTGCACCTGCTAAGCTCCAGGCCCTCGGCCCCCTTTCTTTTCCTCAAGGCCTGTTCCAGCCTCTGGACATTTATCCTTGCAGTATCCTCTGCCTGGAGCACTGCTCACCCAGACTTTTCACAGCTACTTTCTTGCCTTTTGTGTCTCAGTTCAAATAGTTATCTACTTCACAAAGGCCTGCCCACCCACCCCCGCTTCCTGCACAAAGAACGTTTCTACCCTGTTTGTTTCTTTTATGGCATTTAGCATAATTTGCAATATTTTATTTGTTATTCATCTTTTTTATTTGTCTCCTCCATTGGAATGTCAGCTTGGTGAGGGCAGGGCCTATGTTTGTCTTATTCAACATGCCAAGGCTGACATGTTGCCGGGCACAGAGGAAGAACTCTAGAAATGTTGCCGATAGCACAGTCAGGCCCTGGTACTTTGCCAAACAACCCTTTATCCCACCCAGGTCTTGCTACACACTGAGCCCTTCTGCCCTGGGCCTCTGTCCCTTGTACCTGTCCCCCTACATCCGTCTCCCTTCTAGCGTCCCTCCTCGGATTAGACACCTCGGTCACCTGCCACTGTCTGGGTCCATCCTCAAGGCTCAGCTCTGGGACCACAATCATTCTGGCAGGGCCCAAGGCAGGACTGCTGTGTCCCTGACCAAGCCACAGAAGACTCTGAGCCGGAGAGAACCTGCCTGAGTCCAGCACTGAAGTCACAGAGCTGGGGTCTGCCTATGCCTCCTGCCACGGCTGCCTGAGAGCTGACAAGCCCCTGCCACCCTAAGGCATCTCCAGGAATCATGTGGAGACTCCAGGCTGTTACTCTTCACTCAGTAGCTTGGCTAAGGTGTTTGGGAAGCCAGATCCCTGGTACCTGGGCAGGTACCCTGGCCAGTAATGGTGCCCCAAACCTGGGCCATGTGGAGCCCCTTCCCTGGGGTTGCTGCTGTTTCCTGAGCACCAACAGCTTCTTTTCTCCCCCGCCCCCATTCAGCACCTGCTAATCCTGTGCACACGGCCCAGTTGCTGCCAATTAATCCCCCTTGTGTCTGAGAGACCAGCATTGAGTGGCAGCAAGAAGGCAGTTCCTGGCTGGTGGTTGGCATCTGAGCAGGTAACTCAGGATGAGGTGGAGGTTCGGTGGGACCCCCTGATGGACTTCCCATGTTCCCCCTCTAGCAAGGCATTCAGGCAGGGTGAAATAGACGTGGCAGGAACCCTGCGGCTTCCCTGTCCCTCTGCAGAGCTCAAGCTTTAGTGTGCGTCAGGATCTCTAAGGAAGCGTGTGAATGCAGATTCCAGGTCCCTCCAGAGGGTCTGGGGAGCCTAGGAATCTGTATGTTTACCAGCTTCCAGAAGATTCTGAAAACACTGGGGGTCCTACCCCTAGTCCCCTGAGTTCCACTCCCAGGTCATCTTCTCACCTGAGCCACCCTCATCAAAGTGCAGTCAGCAGGAACAGGGTAGAAAGGAGGGAGGAACCTACAAAAATATTCAGGAGGAAATGGCTGAGTCTGGGAGAAGAAGAAACATTAGGAGTGAGGGAGGCTTCCCTAGTCATTTCCGGAAGGTTCAGAAATGCAAACCATGATTGCTGCCACATGGAAAGGGTCTTCAGATCTGGCCTGTGAAAGAGCCCAACATGTGGCATACATTAAGGCCACTGAGGGTTAATGTGAGGCTGCTGGAATTGGTAGGCCTGAGTGTAAACTCAGCACAACATGGCCTCTTGCTGGCTGTGTCACCTCAGGCAAATCTGTTGGCCTTTCTGGGCTCCACGATGAAAATCCTTATTTTGCTGGGCACAGGGGCAGGGTAGGGCATGGTGGTGAGAATGAGGATAAATGTGGTGGTGGAGGGAGAGCACTTAGTTCTGGCTCTTGGGGCTGCCTGTGATGGGCTGGGGTCAGAGGAATCCACCATCCCAGCATGTGACCATGGGCAGTCCCAACCTGTGTCTACACCCCCACCCACAGGAGAATAAAAGACCAGAGGGGTCGCACCTTGCCCAAGGTTGCTTTTTTTGGAGGCTGAACTGGGGTTCTGACTCCTTATCCAGAGCTCTGTTCCCACCACAGCCTCTCACGGGAGAAGCTGGGCTGCTGAGGGCAGAGAGGGAACAGAAGACGGGGCTGTGAGCAGAAGGGTGAGCAGCACAGTCAGGGGATCTGGGGAGCTGGGCACTGGGGTGCAGATCCTGGGCTGTGGGCCTGCCCTTTTCAGCTGGGGACAGGATCCCTGGCAGAGAGGGCGATAGGGGCACTCTGCCAATGTCTGGGCTGCCATGGGTGGGGGAGGGGTGGGCACACCCACGTCGGCATTGCCTGGAAGGAACTGTCCTGGCCTGGTAGTATGTGCACACTGACCTGTATGTATGGTGTCTGCTGGGCCAGGCCATCCTGCCGAAATTCAGCCATAAGGGCTGGGACTCCCCATTCCCCAAGCTAAATGAGCCAGAAACTGCTCCCATGTAAGGCCAGGCTGCGACATCACAGTAAACCACGAACAAGGGCTTACCTAGCATTTTATCTTAAACATTTAAAAATTATGAACATAGGACATAGGCTAACTTTATCTTAAACAGAATTAATTTTTCACTAATGTGTAACTCATAATGTATAATTTGATTGATTGAGTCAGGGTCTCACTCTGTTGCTCAGGCTGAAGTGCAGTGTCACAATCATGGCTCACTGCAGCCTTGAAATCCTGGGCTCAAGCAATGCTTTTGCCTCAGCCCCCTGAGTAGCTGGGATATGCCACCATGCCCAGCTAGTTTTTTTTTTTCTTTCGTAGAGACGACGTCTTGCTATGTTGCCTCGGCTGGTCTCGAACTTCTGGGTTCGAGTGATTCCCCCACCTTGGTCTCCCAAAGTGCTGGGATTATAGCCATGAGCCACTGCATCCAGCCATAATTTTATTTATAAGAGGATTATACAAACACGATATTCCATAATTAATGTTTTCACTTAACCTGTAATAGTCATAGCCAATGTTTATTAAGCCCTCAACACATGCCAGCCACTGTTCTGAGTGTGTTGCACAAATAAATTTATTTTATCCTCATGGTCAATCACCAAGTAGATACCATTAACATTTCTATTTTACAGACAAGCAGACTGAGGCAAAGAATTTTATTGATCTGCTCATGACTTGACTCCAGAGCATATTATTATATTAGTGCAAACATATTTGCCCATTTCTTTTCTTTTTTTTTTTTGCATTGGAGTCGCACTCTGTCGCCCAGGCTGGAGTGCAGTGGCATGCTCATGGCCACTGCAGCCTTGACCTGCTGGGCTCAGGTGATCCTTCTGGCTAATTTTTTGATTTATTGTAGAGGTGAGGTCTTACCAAGTTGCCCAGGCTGGTCTCGAACCCGTGGGCTCAGGCAATCCTCTCACCTTGGCCTCCCAAAGTGCTGGGATTATAGGTGTGTGCCATCTCATCTAGCCTGCCTATTTCTTTTTAATAGTTCTGTAATAGTCCATTATTGGGTGTAGCATAATTTATTTAACACATGTCCCTCTCACAGGTAAACATCTAGGTACTTGACAATAGCCATTCTCCTCTTGATGGATGTTTGGATGTTTTTCTTCTTTGCTGTGACACTGTTGCAACAAACCTTTTTATACACATGTATTTATGGCCCTGAGTAATTCTACAAGGTAAATACCTAGAGATACAGCTGCAGAAATATTTTTAAAGACCGAGAGAGAAACGGGAAATGTACAACTCACAAAAGCAGCCCATAAATGGTGGAAACATCTGTGAACACTCTGGAGTGGCCTAAGGACTCTATCCCTTACAGGTGTCAGAATGTTAGGCTGGGTCCAGAGGGTGCTGCCTCAGCCCCCGGGCACACCTCAGAAGACCAAGATGGCGGTGGAGGAGGAGGCAGAACCAGAGCCAGAGCTGGAGCAGGTAACGGAGGTAGAACCAGAGCCAGAGCCTGAACCAGCCCCAGAGGAGGCCAAGACACAGGCTGAGTCCATGGTAAGGCATGAATGGAGAGGAAGGGCAGGTTGACCTTACTGCCTGGGGTCTTCCCAGCCTGGGCCACCTGCTCTCCACAGACCTTCTGCAGCAGAGGAAGTTGGAGTCTGAATGAAACATGGCAGTCACCTGGTCCAGCGCTCCTATAGATGACGAAACACAAGTTCAAAGAGTGGATAGGGTTTGCCTGAAGCAAATGGTTTTTGTAAAAAGCTAGGCAGCAGATGTTTTAAGCTTTGTGGGTCATGCCATCTCTGTTAATAAACCAACTCTGCCACTATAGGTTAGATAATGCATAAACTAATGAGCATAGCTGTGTTCCAATACAGTTTTACTTACAAAAACAAGCAACAGACTGGATTTGGTCCATGGTATGTTGCTAACCTCTAGAGTCTAGAACAGAGCTGCCCAAAGGAGTCAGTCCATGAACTGCTAATTGTCCCCGATGAGATTAGGATCTTGCACCAGAATGTCAATCTGCCATGTAATCAAGTACACTGCTTAGTTCAGGTGCTGCTTGTTTTGAAGTAAGACTTTCTCCATGAAGGAAGCAGTATGTTGATATGATTCTGGTGCACACTGCTTAATCACCATGGACCATAACAGTGTGCAGACTGGCACTGGTCCATGGGCCACACTTTCAGGGGCATCTCTCTAGAACGTTCCTTTAAGCACATCAAAATAGGCCAGTTCTACATGCCATCCATTCTGCAGTCAGATGACGATTCATTCAGCAGCTCAGTCCAATAGATTTGATCTAGCTTCTAATCAATGCCAGGATCTGTGCTCAGTGCTGAAGGCATAAAGATGAATTCATGGCACTGTCCCTGGGGGTCGGCAGACAAGTACCCAGTCAGTGCATTCTGCCAAGGGTCACAAGTGAGGGAGAATGTGGTGAGTGCCAACATTGGCACTACCCTTCCAGGAGGCCAGATAAGCGTGTCAGACTGAGAACTGTGGGAGATCAAGAGAGGGACAGTCATCCTAACTTTGGAGACTGGAAACTGGTGGGGGAGTGCTTCCTAGACTTGTGGAGGGCAGAGCACAATTGTAACTGATGGAGACATTCCTGGCAGAGGAAAAGGCCATTACTGGCATCGTGCAGGGTATATTTAGAAATCATATGTAGAGTTTGTGTGTGTGTGTGTGTTGCATGTGCACATGTGTGTATGTACATATTTGTGTGCAGTATGTCATTGGTGGTGTGTCTGTGCATGCATGTGTATTTGAAAACTGGGTGTGTGTGCCATATATATGCCCATTTACATGTGTATATGCATGTACAAATGTATACATATGTTTATGTGTATGTGCACATGTATTAGAATGTGTACAGTTTCATGTGCCTGTGTGGCATGCTGGTGTGTATAAGTGTGTGTGTGTGTATATATATGTTTTTGAGTCTGTGAATGTATTCTTATGTTTGTATGTCTATGCATACACACGCTTGTGCATATGCATGCATATTTGTGTATGTACATGTTTACATGTCTCTATGTGCATACATACACTTTGTGTGTCTGTGCATGTATCCTCATGTATGTGTTTAGGTGCAGAAGTTTGTGTATATGTGCATGTACATGTGTACATGCATATGGGTGTCTATGCAAAAATGCACATGTGTATATGGCTCTGCTTATGTGACTGAGCATATACAAGGGGGGGCCAAAAATAAAAAGGAATTATCTTTTGGAGGGTGGGCTCCTTGTAGTACACTCAGAACTCATTCCTCTGGATCAAGTAGTCAACCGAAGTTTTTAACTGGAATTTTTGAGAAGGTTGTGTCATGCTTTGCAAAAAAAATCCCGAGTTGTGACAGACAGGTGACTGGTTCTCCCACCATGACAACGCACCAGTCCATACCGCACTGAGTATTCAGCAGTTTTTGACCCAACACGGCAGGACCCCCATGCTCCACCCTCCCTATTTACCCAGCCTCGCCCTGAATGACTTTTTTTGGTTTCCCTGGATGAACAAAGTCCTCAAAGGGAAATATTTTTACCGAAGTGGAAGAAGTGAAACAAAAAACGGCAGAAGCACTAAAAGGCATCGAAACCGACAAGTTCAAAAACTGTTTTGAGCAGTGGAAAAAGCATCTCGATAGGTGTATTGCGTCCAACGAAGAGTACTTTGAAGGTGACTGAAACTTAAACATGTAAGAATGAATGCACAGTTTTTGATAAATGAATTCTAGGGGCTTGGGTTCCCCCCCTCATATATGTGCATGTGCATATACACTGTTTCTGCGTCTATATATATGCAAGTGTGTCTGTGCATATGTACATGTTTGTGTGTCTGTACACTGACGGGCATGTGCATATGTGTGTGTCTGCATGTGTGCATGTCTGTAAGACATGTGTATGTGTTGGGGGCATGCATATGTTGTGCAGATGTATATGCACATACATTTTGTGTCTGTACATGGGCATCCATGCATGTGCACACATGCACTTATTTTTGCATCTGTGCATGTGTGTATATGCACGTCTGTGTGTCACTGTGTGTATGCATGTGTATTTGCTCATATTGTATGTCTGTACATGTATGTAAATGTGTGAGAGTGAGCATGCATGTATTTGTGTGTCTGTGTATGTATGCACATGCATGCTTGTCTTTGCCTTTGTATATGTGCATGCAGTAGCAGGAGGTGTGGCTGCAGAGGGAGGTGAGAGGCCAATGGCAGAGGCTGAACTTCCCCACGGCTGCTAGTTGGGAACGGAAAGTTGGACCAGAAGGAGACGGAGAACCCTAGCTTGGGGTGAGGGGTGGGCTCCTTGCGCCTCCCCTTCCCCTCTGCCTGCCCAAGGCTTCACAACATTCTCTGTTCCTCCTCCTTCTCAGGTCGCTGAAGTGGGGCAGCTTCCTAGGGACATGACAGGCCTGGGAGGCCACCCTGGGAGGTGTGAGGGCCCCAGCCCTGGGTGAGGGGTCACGGGGGCTAGAGGAGGGAGAATCCCAGGTGGGAGGTGAGACCCCAAGGACTTACAGGGAATAGAGGATAGAGTCGTTCAGTCGTTTGAGGGGCGGGGATCTCTGGTGGGAGAATCAGGGGCTACCCCTGTCCAAATTAGGCTGGTCTCACCTAGGGCTTATATGGTCATGTTTGAACCCTCTAGCCACCTGAAGAGCCACTGAGGAAGAAGGAAGTGGCTGCAGCCGACCCAAGCCCTGAGGGTGAGTGCTGGAAGCCCAGGTTTGCAGGGCAGAGGGCTGTGTTCTCCCCTGAGAGCCTCAAAGAGTTCACAAGGCTGGCAGACCCTTTCACAGATGAGGAAACTAAGGCTCGAATAAACTAGGGTGGGCTCCTGGAGACTTTTCAGCTGAGCTGAGTGAGGACCCTGGCCTTCTGACTCCTCAGAGTTCTCCCCTCTCTCCTGCCTCTCTGAGAGGGCCATTTCTCTCTCAGCAGAGTAGAAATGGGCCCTAGATCTAAAGTATGAGGGACTCTTTTCCAGAGACGCAGGAGGCTGTCCCCACTCTGCCCTCATCCCTCCAGACCCAGACCACTGTGGTTCCTGAAGTGAACAGGTACAGCACCACACTCCCCTCTCCTCAACACCCCCTCCCCTCGAGCTTGGGAGTGCCTGACAGTGGGGGGGGGGGGGGGGGGGGGGGGGGGGTAGGGGACTGGAGGAGACTGTACTCAGATCTGTAGTCATTCTGGGCAAAGGCCCCAGGGCATCCTGGGAACTGGCTGAAGGGAGCTTGAGATAGAGGGTGGGGGTCTCCTAGGCCAAATGGGCAATGTGACCAGGTCAGAAGTTTCTCAGTGCTTGGGTGAGATGCAGGCCAGTGTGGCCAGAGCTCCTGATTTTCCTGGCAAGGTCAGAAATCTGGACTTTGGCATGGAATCCCCAAGTTGGCTGAGACATTTTTTTAATTGAGTCAGGGTCTGAAGGACACAATACGGCTCACTGCAGTCTTGACCTCCTGGGCTTAGACAATCCTTCTGCCTCAGCCTCCCAAGTAGCTGCGGCTACAGGCACAAGCCACCATGCCTGGATCATTTAAATTTTTTCTTTTTTTGGTAGAGACAAGGTCTCTCTATGTTGCCCAGGCTGGTCTTGAACTCCTGGGCTCAAGCAATCCTCTAGCCTTGGTCTCTCAAAGTGCTGGTATTATAGGCGTGAGCCACGGCACCTGACGGCTCAGATATTTTAGGCCATGGTGCTTGGCGCCTGGCCACGCCTGTGGCTGAGCTGGCCTCAGGCGGTGATCTGTGACCCTCATACTTAGGCCGCTCAGCCTCAGCCTCAAGGGTAAACCCCACAGGAAGCCCCACCCCTTCTAGAGCATGACGTGTGCCGAGTGCAGGTGGGGTCCCTGGAGCCAGGCACACAGGGGAGGCAGCATGAGGGAGCCCTGGTGTTCCATCCAAGCATCCCCTGGGTGTACACTTTGAATGGCACCAGGCATGCCTGGCCTCATGTAGCACTGGTGGCCACCATTTTCCAGAGAATAACAAGAGGCTCAGGTGGGTGGTAATGTGTCTGAAGTCTCACAGTGGGGAGATGATGGTTTGGGAATCAAACCAAGTTCTTTAGGACACTGGGCTGCCTTGTACCAGGGTGGGGCTGGGACCTGAGGGAGGCTGGCATCTCTGTCTGCCTACAGCTCCAGCAGAAGGATGCTGACCTGGCTCCTGAAGGGCATGGACAAGGTCGTTCCACAGCCAGTCCACAGCGGCAGGGAGGACCCAGCTCAGGTACCACTGGGGCTGGAGGCCAAGAAGTGGCTTGGTGGGGAATGTGCTGGGGGAGGCTGCCCTGGGCTCCCTGCCCATATCTGTCTGTCTATCCCCCACAGGTCCTTGGGCATTGTGGCACTGGGGACGCAGGTAAGACCAAGAGGTTGGATGGCTTTTCAGGAACAGGGGCTGAGGAGCTGCTGGGATGGGCCCTGTCCCTGGGGAGAATCCGCACGGGCCAGAACTTCTCATCTAACTGGCCCTGGGTTCGAACCTGGGTTTGACTTGATTCTCGATGCCTACTCCAGGCTGACTAGAGGGCTCTAGGCAGGTCTCTTGCTGTGGCTGCCTTTCTTTATTTTCTGACTCTGCAGGGTGTGCAGATGGACCCAATGAGGCCCAGGCCAATGGGTGAGTCCCTGTCACTGAATGTCACTATCATCTGTAGTGTGTGTGGTGGGAGGAGCAGTGTGCCCAGAGACACAGGGCTTAGTTCAGGAGTATGGTCTAAGACTACCTCAGCATGTGACCTTGAACATGCCTCTCATCTGGACTCACTTTTCCCATCCATAGAGTGGGGACGATGGGCCATGTGCCTCCCCTGGTTTGTTGGGTTGATCACCGGGAGATCCCTGGGTGGGGACCCCCATCTGAGAATGGGGAAAAGGGAGACTGAGCTCCTCACAGATCGGCTTCATGTGGGTAGGCTCTATGTGGAGCCTGGAAGCAAGGCTTGGACCACAGTGCAGGCCTTGGGGTGCCCAGGTTGGCCTCACAGTTGGCAACAGCGTCTGACTTTTCATCAGAGGGTGGCAGTATGGAGGCAGGGCTGTGGCAAATCAGGGAGCCTATATCTTGCCCCAGGGAGGAGCCCTGCTCAGGTCCAAGTGCAGGAATGCTGGCCGAATGTGGCCAGAGCCTCCAGTTTTTCAAGAGAAGCTAGAAATCCAGGTTTTGTAATAAATCCTTAATTTTTAGATGTTACCAACTAGTCAAGAAGTTTTCAGGACACTGTCGACCCCGAAAGTGAGCCTGAAGCTTCCAGTTTATACTTTCTGCTGGAAGTCCAGATTCATGTATTCATCTCCATGTATCCCATTCATTCATTCACCCACTCATTCTTTCACTAGACTGTTGGCTCCTTGAGGGTAGAGGCTTTTGTCTTAGACACTGCTGAACCCCCTGGTGCCCAGTACAGTGCCTGAGAAAGAAGAGAGATTCAGCACACATGGGACAAACAAATGCATGAATGAACATATATATACAATCACAGATTCATTTCATTCATTCACTCATCCATTCATTCATTGCTCCAACTCTCTCTTTGTTTCTTTTGGCCGTCTCTTTCCAAGAGCTGCTCAGCTGACTCCTGGGACCACTAAAGCAATATAGGATGGGGGCACCCAGAGGACTTGTCACCTTTCCTCTGGGCCATATCTGGGGGGTCAGGTTACCCTGGCAACACAGAGCTTCCCTGAAGAGGGCGAGGCTTCCTGGAGGCCAGATGGTCTGGGACCCAACGTTTGCCTCCTAGCACCAGCTACAATCATTTGTGGGGCCCAGGGCAAAATGAAAATTCAGGCCATGGAGCCAAAAACAGGTCTTTCTAAGTATGGGGCCCTGTGTGATGCACAGGCCACATGCCCATGAAGCCAGCCCTGTCTCTCCCAGTCACAGGGAGCCCCTCCCATGCGGCATTCAGCTCCTACGCCTGCCCCAAGAGGCCAAGGCTGGGTCTGTCATTTCAGAGCCTGGCACAGCCCTGGGTCTGAATTTGAGGTTGGCAAAATTTCCCCATCAGCTTGGGGCCCTTTGAAAGTACCCAGGACAAGGTCCCCGGTGTGTAGAACAGGAGCCAAGGGTGAGGAAGGGCTGGCTGGAGTCAGGACCCCCAGTAGGCAGTCAGAGTGGTGTGGCCTGCCCATCCTTCGGCTGCTGTGCTGGCTTCACCCCTCACCCCAACTTCTTCCACTCTCCCATCCCCTCAGGCCATGGCTGCTCAGGTGGCTGGAGCAGAATCTGGAGAAAGTGCTGCCACAGCCCCCGAAAAACTCTGAGGTTAGTTGAGGAGAAGCAGGCAGCTGGCCACCAGGGAGGGTTTCTGGGGCGCCAGGAGGCCCTTCCCGCAGGCTAGCCCCACCCTCAGGAACCACGAAGTGGGGTGGTCTCCTACCTGCAGAGTCACCTGAGGGGAGGAGGGACTGTGAGAGGGGTACTAGGGGAGGTCCGAGGGAAGGAGAGAACCCTGCCCCTCCACCACTGACCTCAGAGGGACCAAGCTGGCCAGTGGGGAGTGCGCAGGGGCAGCTTTGACCCTGGCCTCCTTCCCCGTTCCTCACCCAGGGCTGTAAAGATGAGCCTGTGGATGCTGACCTGGACCCAGGTACAGGGAGGGGAGCCCGTGAGGGGGTGCCTGGGTGGTCATAAGCTGGACTGGGGGGAATCTGAGGGATCCCAGGGAGGCCCTTAGCCTTCAGCCGGGTTGGAGAAGGGTGCAGGGCTTGCTGAGAGTGTGCTATTGTGGGGGGCACTGGAACTCCCTCCCCAGTTCAGACTGGGAAGCTGGAGGCCTGCGACAGGCTTGTGAGGTCTTGGGCAAGTCCCTTCCCTCCCCAGGTCTCAGCTTCCACATCTGTCTGGTCTGTTTGAGGTGAGGGTCGCTTGGGGTGGTCATGTTAGTGCCTCGAGTCTGGCCCCCACCCCCATGCCCTTGAGGGTTCTAATGCAGCACTACATGGTGTCTCAACTTCTGCTCCCTCTGTGCTTAGCGCCTTCAGCGCTCCCCAGGGAAATGGAGCCCGTGCCACAGGCCCTGGAGAGCCCCTCGCTGCCCAATCCCGGCCCCACGGAGCCCACAGAGGAGCTGCTGGCTCCAGAGCCCCAGTCCGACTCCCAGGCCTCTTCCCTGATGCCACCCAGGGATCCTTCCAGGTGAGCCGCCCAAGTGCCATGCTGACCACAGGAAGCAGGGTCAGTGTTTGCCCAGGCCAGCACCCAACCTTCACACAGCCAGTGTTTTAAATTATAAATGTAACACACACAGCTGGAGGGAAACTCAGTCAGTTTCCAGACCCCGCCCAGGGCAGCAGCAGCCGCTGCAGCTTCTTGTCCTTGCCCACAGTCCATTCTGCTTTCAACACACGTCAGCAAGAACAAACTATACAGACTCGTCTGCACCTTATCTTTTTTTACTTTAAAATGTATCTTAGAGGTGGGGTACAGTGGGTCACACCTATAATCTCGGAGCTTTGGGAGGCCAAGGCAGGAGGATAGCATGAAGCCAGGAGTTCAATACCAACTTGGACAACAATGCAAAACCTCACCTGTAGAGACAATTTAAAAAATTAGCCGGGCATGGTGGTATGCGCCTGCAGTCCCAGCTACTCAGGAGGCTGAGGTGAGAGGATTGCTTGATCCCAAGTGGTCAGGTTACAGTAAGCCATGACTGGGCCACTATACTCCAGCCTGGGTGACAGAGCAAGACCCTGTTTCCAAAAAAAAGGTATGTTAGACATGGTTTTATACACATACTTCTTTATGTTGTGGTACTCCATTGTGTGGATGTGCCCGCTTTTGCTTAGCCGTTCAGTGGGCATATAGGTGATTTTCCACTCTTCTGCATCAACAGCCTGTGCATGCATATCTGGCTCACACACAAGTAAATCTGTAGGATAAAAGAGCAGAAATAAAGTTTCTGGGCCAAAAAATACACACCTTTAAAATCAGAATAGGTGCCAGGCTCAGTGGCTCAGCCTGTAATCCTAACACTCTGGGAGGCTGAAGTGAGTGGATTGCCTGAGCCCGTGGGCTCGAGACCAGCCCGGACAACTTGGCCAGACCTCGTCTCTACAGTAAAAAAAAAAAAAAAAATTAGTCGGGTGTGGTAGTGTGTGCCTGTAGTTCCAGCTACTTGGAAGGCTAAGACATCGCTGGAGCCCAGCAGGTTGACACTGAGGGTGGCCGTGAGCATGCCACTGCACTCCAACCTAGGTGACAGAGTGAGACTCCAATTCAAAAAATAAAAATCAAAAAATCAGGATAGGTGTTGCCAAATGTCTCCACCCCAGCAGGGTGCAAGAGGCCTGACATGCACTTCTAGGGGTGACTGACCTGCCTGCTGGGGTCAGAGAAGTAGCCAGAGGCTCTAGGGAGGATGAGGAGGGTAGGAAATGGTCTTCAGGGCTGGAGACCTGGGGTTGTCCTTCTGGCAGGCATGCTGTCTGCCTGGGGAGGGAGCTGACTCTGGCCTCAGGTTCCCTGAAAGCCTTCCCACCTGGACACAGCCCACTCTCTCCCGCCTGCAGGTTGGTCGCGTGGGTCCTGCACAGGCTGGAGAGTGCCCTGCCGCAGCCAGTACTCCATGGGAAGACCAGGGAACAGGTCAGTGCTGGACTAGGGAGAGGGCACTAGTGGTGGCGGGAGGGGTCTGAGGAACTCGAGTGGGGGTGGGATGGTCAGCTTGTGTCCCTGGGGGGTGAGGCATAGCAGGAGGAAGGGAGCCTTCGTCGGGAGCCCAGCCCACCCAGCCTGCTGGTCTGCATGACACATGTTCATTTCACACCTACTCTCTGGGCCATGGTGGTCACAGGGCTGAGGTGTGCTGGGCCAGCCCCACCTGCCAGGAGCTCACAGACGGTGGGGGAGGTCCTTCCGTGAGGGGAGCAGAGAGAAGTTGCGTGCAAGGTAGAGCCTGTCTGGGAGCATCAAGGAAGGCTTCCTGGTGGAGGTATCTTCCATGCTTGTGCAAAGGTCCAGAGACAAGAGAGACCTGGAATGTTCTGGGAAGGATTGGGGCTCACAGAAAGCCAGCAGGCTCCATATGCACTCCTGACAACCTAGAGCTCCAACATGGTGGGTAGGAGGAGCAAGGCCTCTGTTACCCTTTTCCTCTCCTTCCCCAAGAGCCTGAACCTAGCCCTTCTCTCCTGGGGACAATTGAACATCTTTATAGAAGCACCTGAAACTGGGGTGGAAGACCTAATCTCAGTCCTGGCTGTGTGACTGCAGCCCTGGTCCTCTCAGAACCTTGGTGGTCTCGCCTGAGCAATGGGCTAACAATCCTGTCACCACCCGGGGTTGTGAGAATGTGGAAAAGAGTTCTGTAAACAAAGATGTCCAGGTGCAGGCCCTGGGTCTTTGGGTCACTCGAGGTCCTGCCTGGCTCTTCTCAACAGGCCACTCAAGGTCCTGCCTGGCTCTGCTGTGGGGTCTGAGGGCAACCCCACCTTGCCTCACTTGAGCCAAGACCTTGGCTCTCAAAGCTCTTCTCCCCAATTCCCTCATTGGCTCTGGGCACAGGAGGAACCCTCTTTTCCATTTCTCGGGATCACTGAGACCCAGAGAGGTGGGTCGAAGTCATGCCACTGGAGTCAGAGCCCAGGTCCAGGCTCCCCCAGCCTCATCCGTCTGGCCCTCTTCCAGGGCTGGCTCCTGCTAGGGGAGGCCACAGTGGGTGGTGGGCAGGAAACTCCGGACCCTGCCCAGCAGGCTGAACCCTCAGGCCCTGTGTTTCTGCAGCCTCCACAGGTAGCAGAGGAGTTTAGAGTTTTCCAAGGGCGAAAAGGGAGCCAAGGGGCAGGAACAAGATGCCCTCACTGAGAGAAGGGGCCAGAGGACGGGGTGGGGGCAGGTATGGTGCTGGTGGGGAGAGGCCTCCATGGAGCCAGAGCTTTGAGATAACCCTTAGTGATCCTGGTAGGGAGGAGCTGGAGGAGGCATCGGCACCAGGATCTTTTGTGGGTGCCTAGCTCCTGCATGTGCTGGGAGGGATGGTTGGAGCAGAAGGCTGGTGAGGAGGCCACAGTGGTCTTTTCTTCTTTCCCCCCGCATGCAGGAGCCCGACGCCCCTGAGACATGTGAGGTGCAGACCAGTAAGTGACACATTTGTGGGTCCTCTCCAGGAGGGTTGCTTGCTCTCCTCGGGTCTGAGGGTACATGGGCAGTGGGGCTGTCTCTGGCCAGGCCTGGACTCACACAGGATCTCCTAGCCCAGAGCTGAGAGAGCCTCATGCTCTGCAGGCCCCACCCTCAGCCAGGGGTAGCCAGAGCCTGGCCCAGAGCCAGACCAACTTCTAGCCTCTATCCAGAGAAAACAGTCACAAGGTCAAGTCGGAGGGGCCCCTTCTTGCTGGAAACTCCCAGAGAGAGTGGCCCTTACCCCTCCCAGCTGGGCAAGTGGGTTGAGCCAAGCAGAGTCATGGTGGGGGCTAGGCTTTCCCTGGGGGGAGCAGACCCCATAGACTCCAGCTTCCTTGAGATGGGAGGTGTCCCCCTTGCCTGGGGCTGAATTGGGGAGGTATGTGAGGCCGTTTATCCCAGGTCTGAGCCGGGATTGGAGGACCAAGAACTAAGACCAGGGTGGAGCTAGAAGCAGAGTCTGGTCTTCCTTCATTTTATGGCCTCAGGAAAGGCATGCAGTGGACAGGCACTCATTCATCCATTCATTCATTCAGCAAATAGTCATGGACAGCCTACTATGTGCCAGGCCTGTGATGGGGTCTAGCAGTCAGCGAAGCCTGTGGGTGGTGGCATCCCCTGACCCATCTTAGACGCAGAGTCTCTGACCGGGGGCCTTGGGGGTCCCAGGGCTGCTCTCCACTGTGTCCAGCCCCAGCCCACTAGGCCTATGGTGGTCTTCATGAGCGCCCTGAAGCTGGGGGTGGCCACCGTGGCCCAGAACATGACAGGCCAGCTGACCATGGAGCTTGAGTCTGATGGAGGATTTGGGGTTTCTAGAAGTTGCAATGACAGCATGAGGAGGAGGAGGGCCTGCTGGCTTCAGAGCAGGGCACGCACAGCATCCCACGGTGCTAGATGGCTGGATGGATGGATGTCGCCTGGTGTGGGCAGAGCAGCTGTGGGGGCAGCAGGGGCAAGGCTCAGAGGACTGAAGGTGCCAGCCCAAGGCCCCAGGGCAGGTCTAAGGAGTGGGGACTAGAGTCCACCTGCCCAATCAGGCAAAGGCTAAAGGTACCAGAAACGTTTCCAGAGCCCCCAGGGGTCTCCACCTGAGGACAGAGCCCCCAGCCCCTTATCATGCTCTCTGGAAGGAGGCAGGATTCCCAGTCAGCCATAGCCAGGGCCTCCCTGCAATTCCTGGAGCTCACCAGTCATGGTTAGGTGCTAGGGCAGACTCAGCGTGGGGCCAGGAACCCATGTGGGTTTGTCCCCTGGGGGTACCGTAATAGATGACCACACACTGGTGGCAGAGAACAGCAGAGATGAATTCTCCCGCAATTCGGGAGCCAGAAGCCCAGCATCAAGTTGACAGGGTTGGTTTCTTCTGAGGCTCTGAGAGGATACCACCCCACGCCCCTCTCCTGGCTTCTGGCGGCTCTTGGCAGCCCTTGGCATTCTGCTTCCATCTCCACACAGCCGTTCCCTGCGTCTGTGTGCGTGTCAATCCCTCTCTCCTTCCTTGAGAACGTCAGTCACTAGGTTTCAGGCCCACCCTAAATCCGGGATGATCTCACGCTGAGATCCTTAACTTAATCACATCTGCAAAGAAGCTATTTCCAAATAAGGTCACATTCACCGGTAATGGGGTTAGGGCTTGGAATTATCGTTTTGGGGGGACACCATTTAACCCATGACATGGGGAGCCTCTGAGGGGCCGGGGGATGCGTGTTTCCAGTCTCCCCCATCCATTCACTCATTCACTCAGTCAGTCACTCACACTCACACACTCACCCCTCCGCCTGTCCACCTAGATGCCCACCCTCTGTCTTCTCCTTCGTTTCAGGGGTGATGGCAGCTGGAGGCCCCTGAAACAAGGGAGAAGGGAGCTGGGAGAGCGCATATGGACACACGGATGGATGGATGGATGGATGGAAGGAAAGAAGGATGCCCCGGAGAGAAGACCTTCAGGGGTGGGGGGTTGGCCACCGGCCCCCGACCTATTCGAACAGTGAACCCCTGTGCCTCCCCACATTCCCAGGCAGGGCAAGGGGAGCCAGAGTCACCTATGTCAATCCCAGATCCTCCTTCCAGGGTGCATGGCAAGGGAGCAGGACCCAGACCAGAACAAGGGGAAGATCAACCATGGGCAGCCTGCAAGATTTAAGCTAGGCGGCAGGAAGACTTCCCCACTGGAAGTCTGTGGAAAAACCCCACAACCAGGCTTGGTGGCACGTGCCTGTAGTCCCAGCAACTTGGAAGGCCAAGGTAGGAGGATAGCTTGAGCCCAGGAGTTCGAGTCTAGCTGGGAACATAGCAAGATTCCATCTCTAAAAAACAAACAAACAAACCAATAAATAAAATTGCAAAGCCCCCTGGAGGACTTGACATTGAGCCTCTCTTTGAGAGGATGCCTGCACAGCCCTCAGCGTGGTGACAGTTTTTCCCAGAAGAGGTTCTCTTTAAGCCTGGCCACAGTTCTCTCCTTCTAAGGGTCAGGAACCACCAGTAGATAATGACAAACATTTTCATTAACATTAAAAAGCAGAAATTAACACATCAAACCACTGTGATTGCATAACATTATTGTTTAGAATAAGACTAAAATAAGTATGGAAGTTTATAAAGCAGTGGACTAGGTGTGCTGTGACCTGGGGTGTCAGGGTTGCAGGACCAGGGGAACTGGCCAGGAGTCCTGAGCTGGGTATCCTGGCTCCGGCCCACACAAGTCTTTGTTTGGGCCAAGGAGCAATTTTAAAAATTGGAATTAGTTGCCGACATTTAAAAATCAGGTGGTTTGACATATAAAAATTCTAGCTTCTCTTAAAACCAGGGAAGACCTGGCTGTTACAGGACCATGTCGTGCTCGTGAGGCCAGTTTGAGCAGCAGCTGACACTGGCACCTTGATTTGCAGACGCCATCTCCCTGGCTAGGTAGGCTTTTGAGTTTGAGACCCCCAAGTTCTCTAACTGATGGTGAGGAGAGGACAATCCCAGGAGAGGGAACAAAGTGAGCAAATGCCTGAGGGTCAGAGAAGGAGGGGGTGGACGAGAGAGTGGTGGGCACTTCAGCTAATCTGGAACCCAGAGTCCTTAATGCAGAAGATAAGACTAGAAAAACTGGGCCCTGACTTTAGGAGACTTGGCTGTAGGCAACGGGGAGCCATTGAAGGTAGTTGAGCAAGGGAGTGACTTCATAAAGATTTCTCTGGGGCTGAGCAAGTATTGGAGGCAGGGAAAGCAATCAAAGCAGGGCCACCTCTGAAGCACCTGGGGGCAGCTATAAAGAATGTCCCACCCCCAGACCTTCTGAGTATGGAGAGCCTGTGAAACCGTTTGTTTGAGAAGTACCTGTCTCCCTGGATGATTCTGATGGTGGGGGAGAGGCTGAGACCATACACAAGAAATACCCAGTAAGTGTGAGTGAGAGGTCAGTGCTTTGGGGCCAGGTGGGAAGAGAGGTGGGCCTGGACCAGGGAGAGACAGAGGTAGAGGGTGTCATGACCCAGACCTACCAGAGAGGATGGAGGCTCACAGCCAGAGCTCGGACTTTGACAGCAACCTGGGACCCAGGTGGGGGGCTTGGCCTAGAACCCACATACCTGGGCCCCATCTACTGATCCTGGAAACAGGATCGCCTTCCCCAAAGAGCGGCTGACCTTGACTGGCTGGGGTCAGAGTCGTGCTCAACGGCCCTGAGGGCAGAGAGGTGGCTGCCAGGAGGTGGCATGCCCTAACAGAACAGCAGTTCCTTGGGAGCTGGAGACCCGGCTAGGGCCCCAGGATGGCTGTGCGTCAGACACCACAAGGAGGGCTCGGAGCTCCAGGGGTGGGCCAGCAGCTCTTCCGCCAGCCTGCTGGGCCCCGTGCTGGGGCTGCGTGGCAATGTGTGTGCTGGGTCATGCGTGGCAGTGACCTCGGGTAACTGTAGAATCTATAGCTGTCAGATGGGGACGGTGTAGGGCACACCCGCAGACCTACTGTGGAGACAAAAAGAGGACAGACTTGTAGAACGCCTGTCCATGAAACAGGCCCTAAAAAGAAAGGAAAGCAAGTGTGTGAGCGAGACAGCATCAGCTGTTAAGGACAGAACCCAGTGAGGCGGCTGGGACGGTGCACGTGGGAGACAGATGTCAGGAGGCCTGGCTCTGCCTCCACCTTCCTGTGTGGACTTAGACAAGATGCTCAGACTCTCTGGGATGTATACCATGGGGGAGAGCACTGTATTGTCCTCGCCCTCTGGGATCGCTGTGAAAGCTAGCGAGCTCTCAAGCAAAGGGATACTCTGTCCCCCGGGTGTTCCCTGCTATGCCCAGGTAGGAATTTGTACCCCAAGAGTCTGCTCAGGATGGAGACACAACACCATTGCTGGATAGCAACAGAGAATAACATGTACCAGGCACCCCACTGCTGGATTCAGGGTCACACTCGGAGCAACCTCCCCGGACAAACCCCAGAGATGTTGGCAGGGCCGAGGAGCCAGGACCCACTGTGGAAAAGGCTGGTTCAGGACGCTCGTGGGGGCTTCCTACTCTGTGAGACAGGAGTAATATCTGTGCCTGGAAGCTGGGAGCTCCATGCCTTGAACGTGAGAAGCACCTCGTGATAGAAGGTGTTTATCTGCGTCTCCAGTTGCTCATCTGTAAAATGGGGAATAAAATGCAAAAGAGGGAAAATAAAATGGGGATAATAGTGAAAACCTCGAAAGGTTGATGTCAAGACTGATGGAGTTAATCCATGTCAGTCACCTAACACAGGCCTGGCAATAGAAAGGGCTCAAAATGTAGCCGTGGTTACTACTACTGTTATTATTATGTTACACCATGATGGTAACTTCCAAAGACACAGGATAACCTGAGGAAGACTTCCATTTAAAGTCACCATTAGGCTGGGTGTGATGGCTCACTCCTATAATCCCAGCACTTTGGGAGGCCGAGGCGAGAGGACTGCCTGAGTCCACGGGTTTGAGACCAGCCTGGGCAACTTGACAAGAGCTCATCTCTACAATAAATCAAAAAATTAGCTGGGTGTGGTGGTGCGTGCTTGAATTTCTAGCTACTTGGATGGCTGAGGTGGAAGGATCACCTGAGCCCAGTAGGTCTAGGCTGTGGTGGCCGTGAGTGTGCTACTGCCCTCCAGCCTGGATGACAAAGTGAGACTCCAATTCAAAAATAAATAAGTAAAAATAAAATAAATTCACCATTACAAGGCTGGGCATGGTGGCTCAGACCTGTAATCCCAGCACTTTGGGAGGTCGAGGGAGGAAGATTGCTTGGGGCCAAGAGTTTGAGACCAGCCTGGGCAACATAGTGAGACCTCATCTCTACAAAAAAATTTAAAAATTAGCCAGACATGGTGGCATGCACCTGTAGTTCCAGCTACTTTGCAGGTGAGGTGGGAGGATTACCTGAACCCAGGAGGTCAAACTGCCGTGAGCCATGATCATATCATAGAGTGAGACTCTGTCTCTAAAAATTAAATAAATAAAGTCACCATGACTAATTCATACTTGACTTGAGGTCCACCAAGACCCCTCCTGGAGCTTTGTGGGAGCGCCTGGTATCCAAGCAATCTCCCCCTTTCTCTCTGACACCTGCTGGAAGTGTGTGGGCTTAGACTCCTGATGAGACTCCCCTGCACTTCCTGCGAGCTTCTGCCAAGCTCACAGGCCCAGAGTGTTTTCATGGTCAAGGACCTGGGCACCTGGAGAAATGCTGAAAATTACAGGCTCCTATCTAAAGGTGGGAGCACCCCCATGAGGAAGTCATAGGCCCAGAGAAAGGAAAGGACTCCCAGACACAAGTGCTGAGTTTATGGGCATGCTGTCACCAGGGGGTGGCATCTAGAAAACAGGTGATGGGCAGGTTCCCTCTGCATCCCTTAGAACAATCCAGGCAGCCCTGCACCTGGATGTGGCTGATGGAGCCTGGTTCTTCCGGCATCCCCTGCGATGCTATGATTAGAGGCACTGTTTCTGCTTCTGCACAAACCTCCAAGGAGGCACCAGTGAGAAACTCACATGATCAGCTTTAATGAACTCTCTGACTCAAGAGGAAAAGGAAGGGAATAATGGAAGGAGACGGGGGTGAGCGAGCTTGAGCTCCAACCCCTCACATGAGTGCTGATCTGGTTGTCGACGGTCTGCTGAGAATGCGGCCATTTCTCCACTGCTTGTCTAAGAGCTGCTGGCGATGGCCAGGGCTCCCTGTGGGGCCCCAAGCCTGCTCTCCCCCACATCCCACAGATGACTCCTCCTGTGTCCCCGCAGTCAGCATCCTCCCCAGAGAGCAAGTGGAGCCTGACCTGGTCCTAGAGGAGGTTGACCCTCAGGTGGAGGATGACCCGAAGGATGGCCCACAGAGTACAGACACGGTTCCAGCTGATGAGGAAGAGAATGAAGCCGTGGAGGAGGCACCCAGGTGGGAGTCTGAGACAACTCTGGAAACATTAGCTATTGTTTGAGAAGGTGACAGGCCCATAGTACAGAATCCCAAGGTCTAAAGGAGTACAGACCAGGCATAGTGGTTTAAGCCTGTAATCTCAGCACTTTGGGAGGCCAAAGTAGGAAGACTGTTAGAAACCAGCCTGGGCAACACAGTGAGACTCCAACTCTATGATTTAAAAAAAGGGGGGCCAGGCTTGGTAGCTCAGCCTATAATCCCAGCACTTTGGGAGGCTGAGGCGAGTGGATTGCCTGAGCCCGCAGGTTCAAGACCAGCCCGGGCAATTTGGCAAGACCTCATCTCTACAATAAAATAAAAAATAGCCGGGTGTGGTAGCGCGTGTCTACAGTCCCGGCTACTAGGAAGACTGAGACGGAAGGATCACCAGAGCCCAGCAGGTCGGCACTGGGGTGTCCGTGAGCATGTGTGCCACTGCACTCCAACCTGAGCAAAGGAGTGAGACTTCAACTCAAAAAAAAAAAAAAAAGGCACAGAGCAGGAACCAAGCCTGCCTCATCCACCCTCAGGCACTCACCCTCTCCCCACAGGTACAGCAGCTAACAGGTTCCCATGCACCCTTCCAGAAACAGTTTGGGTATAAACAAGCATGCATCGCCCTCTTTTTTTTCCACAAAAGATAGCATATCCCATGTACCTATCTGCACCTTGCTATATTCATTCAAAAATATACTTTGAGGTATTCCCACATTCGGTACATAGAGATCATCCCTCACTTTTTACAGCTGCATAGTATTCCATTGTATGGATGTACCACAATTTATTTAACCTGTCCACTATTGGTGGACATTTAGGTTCATTCCAAAACTTTGTTATATGAACAACTCTTCAGCGGGCACTCTTGGATACATGTCTTTGCACACATGTGAGTACACCAGCAGGACAGGTCTCCAGAGGGGGTATTGCCTAGCTGCTGAGTATGAAAATGTGGGATGGCCGGGCTCGGTGGCTCAGCCTGTAATCTCAGCGCTTTGAAAGGCCAAGGCAAGTGGATTGCCTGAACCCTCAGGTTTGAGATCCACCCCGGCAACTTGGTGAGGCCTCGTTTCTACAATAAATAAAAAAATTAGCCGGGTGTGGTAGCACACACCTGTAGTTCGAACTACTTGGAAGGCTGAGGCGGAAGGATCGCCGGAGCCCTGCAGGTTGAGGCTGCGGTGGCCAGGAGCGTGCCACTGCACTCCAGTCTGCAGGACAGAGACTCCAACTCAAAAAAAAAAATGTGGGATCATGGATGTGATTGCCAAATCGCCCTTCTCAGGGGCGTCATGGTCTTCGTTCCCACTAGCAATGCTGGGTGATGGTGGGAGGTCCAATTGAGAGGTCTCAGGTCCTTAAGCCAATAATCTACCTTGCTAAGATGAGGGAACTGAGACCCAGGGAGGATCAGAGGCTGGCCTGGTGTCACCACCAGGACAGGGCCCCATGCAGGGAAGAGCGCTTGTGCTGGAAAGAGCGGACGGCGCTCGGGTGGGGGTCCCCAGGCTGAGCCTGGGCTGGAGAGCCCAGTCCTGTCCCAGGAGGCTTGGGAAGTCTGACAGAAAATGGGCAAGAGGCAAACTCGGGGGGCAGCTTCAGGTACGCTCACCTCCCACCTCTGACCCCACCTCAGGGAGCTGCCCCCAATTGAAGAGGAGAAAGAAGATGAGGAGGAGGATGGAGAGGAGGAGGAGGAAGAGGACAAGGACGAGGAGGTGGAGGTGGTGTTGCCTGAGTAAGTAACTTGTCCACCTGGCCCCAGGGGACAAGGCTACAGTGAGGGACCGCTGGGTAACTGGGGCAGGGGCGCTCTCTGCTGTTCATGGAAGCTCTGTTCCATTGTTCTGTGCTGTGTGTCGCTGGGCTGTGACTAGAGAGGCTGGGAAAAGCTGGGGGGGTCCCCCACTGTGGTCATAATGACCCGGGAATCATATTACCCACCATTCAGCCCGCCCCACCGCCACTGCCACACACACACACATACTAAATGAAACCTCCATGAGGGCTCTGGGACTCTCGTCTGCTATTTTCACGGCCATGTCCCCAGAGCCTAGAACAGTGCCTGGTACACAGTAGGCACCAAATAAATATTAGTTGAATGTATACATGGATGCATGAATGAACACATACAGTGGGCTCTCAGATCTCACCTATTACTAACAAAACCAAGGCTGTCTCCCCCTCTACGGTCCCCCTTCCCAAGATGCCTTTGATGCCTTCTAAGACTGCCTTGAATTCTGCTCTATTGCCCATTAATGATCCATTCTCTGCCCACATCCATGAAGATTTCAACATTAAAACACACGGAAGAAGGCTGTAATCCCAGCACTTTGGGAGACAGAGGCAGGAGGATTGCTTGAGCCCAGGAATTCAAGACCAGCCTAGGCAACATAGCAAGATCTTGTCTCTATAAATTTTTTTTTAATTAGCCATCTGTAGTCCCAGCTATGGGAGGTTGAAGTGGAAGGATCACCTAAGCACAGGAGGTTGCAGCTGCAGTGAGCCATGATTGTGCCACTGCCCTCCAGCCTGGGCAACAGAGCAAGACCCCACCTGAAAAAAACAGTGCCCAGAAACCATGAAGAGGGAGAAAGCTTTTAGCACCATGGGACGGATGGAAGGCTGGATGGGCCGATGGCTCCCATGAGGAGGAAGAGCAGGCAGCTGGACACCTGAGTCTAGCTTAGGAGTGGGAGCGTTTGGGCTGGAGATGTGACATTGGGAATCTGGTCGCCTGGGTGGCCTTGGAAGCTGTGGGGCTGGAGGCGATGACCAGGGAGTGGATAGAGGGAAGGCCCGAGGACCTGATTAGGGGTCAGGGAGATGAGGAGGAACCAGAAAGGACAGAGGAGGCATTAGTGAGGGGGCGGGAGACAAGGAAAGTGTAAGGCCCAGAGGCCAAGTTACAAAGTGTTTCAAGGAGGAAGGGCCACCTCAAAAGCAAGTTGTAAAGGCCTTGAACTTGATTTCCCAAGAGCAACAGGGAGCCATTGAAGGTTTGTGAGAAGGAGAGAGGCATGATCTGGCAGCTGTTTTGGGGCGAGACTGAGGCAGGGAGAACAGAGCGGAGGCTGTTGTCATGGGTCAGGTGAAAGTAAGTTACTGTGTCCCTTGCTCCAGTCTCCTGGCATCATTCCCTGTCCTGGTCACTCTGCCCACTATGGTACCTCCTGGCCCACACCCTTTCACCTGGCCTCTGGCCTGGCTTGAGACAGGGCAGGACCATGAGTACTAAGAGCACAGACTTTGGCATCAGAAATGTCACTTTGCTCCTGTTAGTAGAGTGACCTGGGCCCGTGGCGTGCCCGCTCAGAGCTTCTGCCTCCGTGTCCGTAAATGCGGGATAGTAACGGCCTCCTGTGGATAGGGGACATGCGGGCCAGTGATGGTGATGGAGGTGGCAAGGTTCACCTGGAGTGTCCAATCGATGGTCATGAGTGTTCTCGTCCCCGCAGGGGGTCTCTTATAGTCCTAGCACAGAAATGAGGTCAACACAGGATTTCAGAGCTGGAAGCCTGCTCCGTGTCACCTGCTTTTAGCCCACCCTTGTTCAGTTCACATAGAATCTTTCCATTCTTGACAGGAATGGAGACACAGCCTCCACTTGCTTACCTCCAGTGATGGGGAGCTCCCAGCCTCTCAAAGGCAGTTCGTTCCATCCAGATGCACTTCTGATTTGTGAAGTTACTTCTTACACCAAACTAGGCTTGCTTCCCTATGGCTTCTGTAACCTCCAAATTCTGCTTTCTGGGTCTCCTCCCACCCCAGCCCCAGCCAGGTGAAGACCTTAGAAGCTGCCTCATCAGGGCAGCTTGTTTGTGCCCTGCTCTCTACCTGCCCCTGTGGGAGAGTGCAGAGAACTGGGTCCCTCCCCTACTAAACATGTACACTTAACACAGGCCTGAAAACCTCTGTGCCACTGCTGAAACAATGCAGCTGAAATAGCCCTTGAAGGCCAGTGATCAACTGTGCTCACACACATGCCCAAACCACACACTTTCCCAAAATGCAGTACACATGCACGCACGCATGCATGTCTATACTATACACCAGCACAGACACACGCCATGTTATACACACATGTACATATGCAGGCATGCACACACTTATACCCATATGTATTCTGCATATCCACATATGTTCACACATACGTGTGTCCACATGTCAATGTTACATCTTTGCACACATGCTCATACACACAAGCACGTGCATAGAGGGTTACCCCTGTGTGCTGTAGCCGCACATGCCTTCACACACATGTTCATCCAGAGTTTTAAACTCAGGGAAATTTTGGGCCCCAGGCCCAGGGAGGGACAAGGGCACTGTGGTGACAGAGTCAGTGACCCAGGGCAAGACGGTTTGAAGTCTGGGGCAAGCAGATCTGGGCTGTCCCTGGCTGGGGAAGGATGCTCATGGCCAGCTCTGCGGAGGCACAGGATACTGATGACGCAGGGGCCCTGGTAACCGGCAGAGGGTCGCCTAGCGACCTGGTCTCTGCAGGCAGAAGTTCAGCTTTTCCTAGCAACCGTGGCCTTTGGTCCCACCTGGCCTCCCTGGAGGCGCCTCTGCAGTTCCCTACACAGCCTCTCAATCTGATTAGAAGCAGGAGGAGCTGGTGGCTCATCTGCCACCGGAGCCACACTGGCTCGGGCGCTGGTCTAGTGGCTGGGCTGGGGATCTCCCAGTTCTCCATTTGCATGCATCAACCCGGGCTGGGGATGAATGTCACAGCCCCCAGCTGAGATCCTGCACCATGGGCATCCTTGCCAGCAAAGACAAAGAGACCCAAGTAGGTGCCTGCTTCTCCCCAAGGGTTCCCTTCCTTCCTTCTCTTGGGGTTGATACTTCAGGTGGAGAGTGCAGAAGGCAACAGTGAGGACTCGGGGGCACAGCCTGTGGAGGGGAATGGCGAAGGAGGGGGTTTGGTGAAGCCCTGAGCGCTGGCTGCTGCTGCTGCTCCCTGAGACTTACACTTGGAAAACCAGGGGTCCCCTGGAAGCCTAGCTCAGCCAGTCTCTGTTCCTCTGTTTGGAAATCCCTGTGACTTTGTTCCTCTGTTTGGAAATCCCTGTGACTTGGGAGTTTTTGGAAGTTGATGCCCTCCTGTTTCTGGGCTGGGCAAGAGGAGCCCTTGGCAGGGCCTGGGCACACCGTCAAGTGAGAGCAAGGTGGCTTTGGTACATGGGCCTCAAAACAGCCCCCAGTGACGTTGACAGGGCCACTACAGGGGCCTTAAGTTATCTCAGTCGCTGGGGATTTTTATGCAAAACATTCCCCAATCCACATGGGTGATTTCATAGCCCTGCAGATCGCCATCTCCTCTGGGATTAATAATAATAATGACCACAACAATAATAGCAACTGCTGTTGACCAGTACTATTTCTTGTGCCACTCACAGGGTAAGGGACCCCGAATGGTAGATTATTTTGCTAATCCCATTTCACAGATGAGAGAATTAAAGTTCTGAGACAATGCCCCGCCAGGAAGTGCAGAGCTGGGATTCCATCCTTAGTCGGCTTAAATCCAAAGTGAACACTTGGTACCGCAGACAAGGAAAACTGCTTACAATCTTTAAAGACAGAGAATCTAGAAGAATCATGGGAATGACACCCAATAGGCTTTCTTGACCTTCCGTGAGATTCTCACCGGTCCTTCTGACTTTACTCAAATAAGCCAGGCAGTACAGGCTGGGCAAGTCCTACCCATTTGACAGATAAGCAAACAGAGGCAGCACAAAGGCTTTCCGGGTGACTTGCCCCAGGCCATGCGGTGATTTCTGACCTGATGCGCAAAGGAGCAGGACCCCAGGAAGCCTCTGGCTGGGCCTGTGGGTAGCTCATTTCCTGAGCCTTCGTGCTGTAAGGTAGAGAGCTGAGAAGGGCCCCATGTCAGCTTCTGGGGAATTCACTGGGGCAGGGCTGACTCTCCTTGGCATGCTAGGCAAAGTGCCCAGAATGCTTCTAGGGGCCCATGAGATTGTTTTGATTTCTTTTAAAATCAGACCTAAAACGCACTTTAAAGAGAAGGCAATGTCTTAAGAGATAATAACATATTAATCTTTGTACAAATGCAGACACAAAAATATAATTTTTAATATTTATTTAGGGAGCAAGGGGTCCATAAGGGCTTCCATGCCGGGACTCAGGAAAGTCATTCATGTGGCCTTGCTTTTGTGACTTGAATCTCTAAAAAATCTGTTTCTTCCTGGACAGGGTGGGGTGTATTACCCTGATAATTCAGACCCCTCACAGTAGAAATATCTATAGAATGAAGAGTAATAAAGTTATTTGTGTGCTTGGATTATCCAGACACTTGTATGCCTCCATGCCACGTAGTGGCCATGTAGGCACTCAGAGGTGGGTGGTGAAATGTAGTGTTAAGCACATGGCCTTGGGGTCAAGGCTACTGATATTGTATCCAAGTTTGCCTTGTACAGGCTGTGTGACTACGGACTGACCATCAGACCTCTCTGGGCCTCCGTGTTCTAAGCTAGAATAGGCTCAGTTATAGCTCTAGTCTCTCGGGGTTATGTATTGTTGTTGTTGTTGGTTTTCTAGACTTCTTCTTTTAAAAAATTAATTTTTAATGGACCCATAAAAATTGAATATATTTATGCTGTACAACACGTTGTTTTGAAATGTGTATTCAATGTGGGATGGCTAATTTAAACCAATTAGCGTATGCGTTACCTCACATACTCATAATTTTTTGTGGTGAGAAGGCTTCAGATGCTCTCTGAGGGATTTTTAAGAACATGATACAGTGTTAATAACTATAGTCACCATGAGCAATAGATCTCCTGAACTTATTCCTCCTATCCAACTGAATTTTCTTGCCAGTGTCCTTTAACCAACCTCCCCAGCCCTCACCCCTGGCAACCCCCATTCTACTCTCTGCTTCTATGAGTTCAACTTGTTAGCACTCCACAGCTAAACAAGATCATCTGGTACTTACCTTTCTGTGCCCGGCATGTTTCGTTTAACATGACATCCTCAAGGTTCATCGATGTTGTCACTTGTCACAAGTGACAAGATTTCCTTCTTTTTAAAGGCGGGATAGTATTCCATTGTGTGTTTGTACGCATTATCTTTATTCAGTGATATTGACAGACAAAGGTCGTTTCACTATTATGGCTATTGTGAATAGTCTGCAATGCACGTGAGAGTCGGGTATCCCTTCAACTGGTTTCATTTCTTTTGGATATACACCCAACAGGAGGATCGCTGAATCATATGGTAGATATATTTTAATTTTTAAAAAAATCTCCTTGCAGTTTTTCAGAATGGCTGTACTAATTTACATTCCCACCTTCAGTGTTCACATTTCTCTCCAACACTAGTTATCTGTTGTCTTTTTTTTTTTTTTGAGTTGGAGTCTCACTGTTGCCCAGACTGGAGTGCAGTGGCCACTCCCAGTCACCGCAGCCTCGACCTGCTGGGCTCCGGCGATCCTTCCGCCTCAGCCTTCCGAGTAGCCGGAATTACAGGCGCGCGCTACCACGCCCGGCCAATTTTTTGATTTATTGTAGAGATGAGGTCTCGCCTGCCCAGGTGGGTCTCGAACCCGTCTATTGTCTTTTTGATAATAACTATATGAACAGGTGTAAAGTGAAATGTCATTATGATTTTTAAATGTGCATTTCTCTGATAATTTGTGATGTGGAGCATTTTTTCATATATCCTTTGGCCATTAGTAGTCTTCTTTTGAGAAATGTCTGTTCAGATTATTTACCCATTTTTTAAAAATCAAGATATTTGTTTTCTTGTTACTGAGTTGTTTGAGTTCCTTATGTATTTTAGATATTAACGCTTTGTCAGATATATTAACATATATATGTTATATATTTTGGACATTTGCAAATATTTTCTCCTTTTCCATAGGTTGTCTCTTCACTCTGTTTTTGTTTTTGTTTGGTTTTTGCTGTGCAGAAGCTGTTTAGTTTGTTGTAATCTCATTTGTCTATTTTTGCTTTTGTGGTCTGTGCTTTTGGGGTCAAATCCAAAAGTTCATTGCTCAAATCAATGTCATGGAAATTTCCCCCTATGTTTTCTTCTAGCAGTTTTGTAGTTTCAGGTCTTACATTTTAGTCTTCAATCTATTTTCATTCGATTTTTTTTTTGGAAATAGTGTAAGATAAGGGTCTAATTTTATTCTGCAAATGAATAGCCATTTATTGAAGAGACTAATCTTGACAACTTTGTCAAAATTCATCTGACCATAAACACATGGGTTTATTTCTGGGCTATTTGTTCCATTGATCTATGTATCTGTCAGTCTTCATGCCAGTTTCATGCTGTTTTGATTATTATAGGTCTGCAGTATGTTTTGAAGACAGGTAGTGTGATACCTCCAGCTTTGTTCTTTTTATTCAAGATTGCTTTGGCTATTCTGCATCTTTTGTGGTTCTATACCTACCAATTTTAGGATTTTTTTTTTAATTTCTGAGAAAAATGTCATTCGAATTTTGATAGGGATTGCACTGAATCTGTAGATTGCTTTGAACAGTATGAACATTTTAACAATAGTAATTCTTTCCATCCATGAACACAAGGTGCCTTTCCTTTTATTTTTGTCTTCTTCAATTTCTTTCAGCAATGCTTTTTAGTTTTCAATGTATAGGACTTTCAGCTACTTGGTTAAATTTATTCCTAAGCATTTTATTTTGTAGCTATTGTAAATGGGACTGTTTTATTGATTTCTTTTTCAGATAGTTTATTGTTAGTATAGGAAATGCTACTAAATTTTGTATGCTGATTTCATATCCTGCATCTTTACCTAATTGGTTTATCAGTAATTACAATTTTTTTGGTGGAGTCTTCAGGGTTTTCTATATATAAGGTCGTGTCATCTACAAAGAGGGACAATTTAATTTCTTTCTTTCCTATTTGCACGCTTTTTGCTTCCTTCTCTTGCCTGATTACTCCATCTGGGACCTCCCATACTATGTTGACTAGAAGTGGTGAGAATCATCCTTGTCTGACTCCTTATCTTAGAGGAAAGGCTTTCAAAGTCTCACGGTTAGGTATAAGGGCCTATATTATGTTGAGGTACATTCCTTCTACACCTACTTTGTTGTATGTGTGTGTGTCTATCATGAAAGGTTGTTAGCTTTTTCTTCATCTATTGAGATGCTCATTATTTATTTATTTATTTTTTTGAGTTGGAGTCTCAGTCCGTTGCCTAGGCTGGAGTGCTGTGGCAGACTCACGGCCACCCCAGTCTCGTCCTGCTGGGCTCCGGCAATTCTTCCACCTTAGCCTTCCAAGTAGCTGGAATTATAGGCACATGCCACCACACCCAGCTAAGCTCATTGATTTTTGTCCTTCATTCCGTTGATGTGGTATATCGCATTTATAGGCTTCTCAGGGTTATCTAGTTAAAAATTTGGGGAGACATTGCATGCAAGGTGCCTGGCACACACTAGGGAGCTGGCGCGGTTCCCTGGTGTGATAATCAGCTGATCCTGCTGCCAGGTACCGACTGGACTCCCATCCCCACTCCACCTGCTTGCTCACCTCAAGTGGGCTGAGACTCAGCCCTCTGAATGACGGGTGATGAATGCAGGGTTTCTGGGTGGAAGGACACCCCGGAGCATCCTCTATGACAGGCGTCTGAGGCATGGGGTGGGCTGTTAAGAAGCAAGAACTAGAATCGCTGGAGCCCAGCAGGTCAACACTGAGGGTGGCCATGAGCGTGCCACTGCACTCCAGCCTGGGTGACAGCGTGAGACTCTGACTCAAAAAAAAAGGTCGGGCACGGTGGCTCATGCCTATAATCCCAGCACTTTGGGAGGCTGATTTTAGGAGACGATTCCCTGAACCCATAGGTTCGAAACCAGCCTGGGCGATGGTGAGACCTCATCTCTACAATAAATCAAAAAATTAGCCAGATGTGGTGGCGCATGCCTGTAGTTCCAGCTACTTAGAAGGCTGAGGTGGAAGGATCACCTGAACCCAGCAGGTCAAGGCTGTGGTGGCCATGAGCGTGCCACTGCACTCCAACCTGGGAGACAGAGTGAGACGCCAACTCAAAAAAAAAAAAAAAAAAAAAAGAAGCAGGAACTGATCCTAACTACAAAGGCACATTCTCTTCTGGTCCTCAGTCACCATTTTAACCCAGAGATCACACACAGCATCTACAAGCCCAAAAACCTGGAGACAGGCTCTTCTGGATGTCCACATATTAATAAAGATATACTAATCTGGATTTATTATCACATCTAAATATCAGAAAATTTTACCTTCAAAACGTACAGTTCAGGCTCCTTTTGAAAATCAGAAGATCTCTACCTGGGCTACCCTTCTAAGAAAGTGGGATTGCCACCTTCAGATAGACAGGGTTCTCCATTTTTCACAGTCCTCCCTGCTTCCTGCAGCCTCACCTCTGGCTCTGTCATAACTTATATATGCCTCATACCCTAGTCAGGAACCCCTGAAACCCCCAGCAGTTGCAGTGTGACTCTGATCTCATGGTATGGAAAGATCCAGGGCCTGGGTTCAAGGTTTTTGTTGTCTGGAACAATTTGCTGTGTTATTTTGGCAAGGCCAGTTCACCTCTCTGGGCCCTACTTTTCTCCCACTCTCTGCATCACCCAGGTTGCCTGGAGGTCCTCTGGAGGAATCCTGGGAGCGTATTTGGAACACTCCAGTGTGCTCTTTGGGCTACCCTAGAGGACAACTCCTCCAACCATCTCTTGACTTTTCTTGGCATGTGCTGTTCCCTCTTCCTGGACACCCTTCCCTACCTATTCCTTATAGTAAAATCATCATCCTTGAGGCCCAGCGTATAGGTCACCTCCTCTGTGAAGCCGTCCTTCCCAGCAGAGTTGTGGTGTGCCCTTCACAGCCCCTTGCTGAGCACATCTCAGACAGGGTGATCGTTAGTGGACATGGCCCTGGGAGCCTCCTGAGAGTGAGGACTTTGTGGGCATCTGTGTGTCTACCGCGGGGCTCAGGAAACCTCAACACCCCTAACCTGAATCTTTTCTCCTGCCTTCTTGGGAATCACAGAGTCCTGCTGGATAGCTGTTTGGTGGGTGCTGACCAGAGCAAAGCAGACAGGACCCAGCCCCAGAGCTCTTCAGACCAGGTACGAGAAGCACCCGGCTCCGGGGTACCTCTGAGGCCTGGCCTGGCATTGGGATAGGGCCGGGCCTTGTTCACTTTGTTCCCAGGGGACTTCTGGCTGGTGAGATGTCCAGAGGACAGAGCAGGGCAGGATGACAGGTCTTTCAAGGCCCCGCTCATAGCAGTGGTCAGTGGCGTCGGGAGGGGCTTCGGCCGTGGGTGGGGAGTCAGCTGGCCCTAGGCTGAGTCCTCACGGGGCTGCCTGACTCTGGGCAAGTCACCTCCCCACTTTGGGCCTCAGTGGCCGCCCTGTGAGAAATGGGGCTATGAACGCTTCCCTGGGGTCTGTAGGAGGATCCAAAAGGGCTTGCACACTGTGAAATGCAGTGCTGGGTGAGAAACCCCATGGTGGCTGCTTTAGTTGCTTTGTGCCAACGTGTCCAGGGCTGCCTGGGGAGGTCCCCCTCCACAGGTGACGTGTCCAGGTTAGGGCCCGCCCCTTCTGTGTGTCCTGCCTTCTACAGGCTGTAGGCCACCTCCCTGGATTCCCAGAAGGCAGGCCGGCAGGGCCTAACTGACAGGGCAGGGTAAGAAGTAGAATCGGGCCTCTGTGGGCTCCAGAAGACAGCTCTCCTGGCAGGGCTGGGTGAGACCAGGGCTGGGGCTGGTGGTCGCAGCTTCTGTTCCACTTTATTATTGGCAGGAGCTGCAAGAGGAGACCCAGGAGGAGATCGAAAAGGAGGCGGAGGAGAAGGACGAGGCCCGGGCTGTGACAGAGGAGGCCGAAACCGAGGCCAAGGAGCAGACCGGAGAGGAGGCCAAGGGGAAGACAGAAGAGGAGGCCGAGGAGGAGGCCGAGACCAAAGAGGAGGCCGAGAAGGAGGCTAAGGTCAAAGAGGAGGCCAAGACCAAAGAGGAGGCCGAGGAGGAGGCCAAAGAGGAGGCCGAGGAGGAAGCTAAGACCAAAGAGGAGGCCGAGGAGGAGGCTAAGACCAAAGAGGAGGCCGAGGAGGAGGCTAAGACCAAAGAGGAGGCCGAGGAGGAGGCTAAGACCAAAGAGGAGGCCGAGGAGGAGGCTAAGACCAAAGAGGAGGCCGAGGAGGTCAAGACCAAAGAGGAGGCCGAGGAGGAGGCCAAGACCAAAGAGGAGGCCGAGGAGGAGGTCAAGACCAAAGAGGAGGCCGAGGGGAAGACCAAAGAGGAGGCCGAGGAGGAGGCCAAGACCAAAGAGGAGGCCGAGGAGGAGGTCAACACCAAAGAGGAGGCCGAGGAGGAGGCCAAGACCAAAGAGGAGGCCGAGGAGGAGGCCAAGACCAAAGAGGAGGCCGAGGAGGAGGCCAAGACCAAAGAGGAGGCCGAGGAGGGGGCCAAGACCAAAGAGGAGGCTGAGGGGAAGACCAAAGAGGAGGCTGAGGAGGAGGCCAAGACCAAAGAGGAGGCCGAGGAGGAGGCCAAGATCAAAGAGGAGGCCGAGGAGGAGGCCAACACCAAAGAGGAGGCCGAGGAGGAGGCCAAGACCAAAGAGGAGGCCGAAGAGGAGGCCAAGACCAAAGAGGAGGCTGAAGAGGAGGCCAAGACCGAAGAGAAGCCCGAGGAGAAGACCAAAGAGGAGGCTGAAGAGGAGGCTGAGACTGAGGAGAAGACCAAAGACGAGGTCCAGGAGGAGGCTGAGGCTGAAGGAGAGGCCAAAGAGAAAGCTGAGACTGAGGAGGAGGCTGAGGAGGCAGCTGAAGAGAAGGCCGAGGAGGAGGCCGAGGCGCCCAGCTCAGGAGGTAGGCATGCAGCGGTGGCGGTGGGTTGCATGTGAGTGTCCAGGGTTCCCTCCGGCAGGGGTGGCCTCGGTACTGGAACAGCTCCTCCTTCCCTCCCCCTCCTTCCAGCCTGTTGCTCCTTAGGCAAGACCCATCCCTGGGGACTCAGGCCCCCATCATAGAGTCCCATGGTGTGTTTCGAAGGCCTTCAGGGGATTATGCTGAGACCCCAGGACTCCCATGGGGCAAGTCCCCTCCCAGCCCACCACTCCTGCGGCCTCCGCTCACTGAGGACGCAGCTCTTTGGGCTGCCACCCAGTGAGGGTCTGGCTCAGACGTGAGGTATTGAAGTGGACACGGGGACCAGAGCTTGCTAACCGCGTGCCCTGGACTCCCTGTCCCCTTTTGAGCTGTTCCTGATCTGCAGACGGTACCCAGCTCATGCACTCCCACTCCTGAGAACTCCAGGAATAAGGGGACGAGAGCCCAGGGGAGCCAAGCGCGCTGGGCCACGGAGCCCAAGACAGGTGGATGCCGAGCCTGGCTTGCGGGTGTCACGTGTCTGACACTCCTCTACGGTCCTCAAGCGCCAGTGCTTCAGCCATCCTGTAAAGCAGACAGACTATTTTACAGATGAGCAAACTGAGGCTGGGTGTGTGCCAGATTTGGCCAAAAGGCCAAGGTACAGACCTGCCTTTCACTCTTGGCTCCTCGCTCTCTTCCTCGCTGTGTGACCCAGAGCCAGTTCTGTGACCTCTCTGAACTGTGACTCACGAGTCAAGAAAAAAGAGGCAATCATTATGAGTACCTAGCTCACAGGCGGTCAGGCAGAGTAGAGGAGACAATGTGTGAAAGATACCCAGAACTGTAGCTGGCATGGAGGGAGGAGTCAATAATGGGGATGAGCCAGGCTTGGTGGCTCAGCCTGTAATCCCGCGCTTTGGGAGGCTGAGGTGAGTGGATTGCCTGAGTCCGCGGGTTCGAGACCCACCTGGGCAACTTGGCGAGACCTCATCTCTACAATAAAAAAAAAAAAATTAGCTGGGCATGGTAGCGCGTGCCTGTAGTTCCAGCTACTTGGAAGGCTGAGGCGGAAGGATCGCCGGAGCCCAGCAGGTCGAGGCTGCGGTGGCCGGGAGCGGCCACTGCACTCCAGTCTGGGCGACAGAGTGAGACTCCAACTCAAAAAAGACAAAAATAAAAAATAATAATAATAATGGGGATGATGATGTATCCCAGTCAGTCAGCCAATGACATAAGACCGGGCCAGGTGTCCTTCTGAGCTTGCTCCCTACCTAGCCTTTGAAAAGGGCTCTGGCCAGGTGCAGTGGCTCATGCCTATAATCTCAGCACTTTGGGAGGCCAAGGTGGGAGGATCGCTTGAGCCCAGGATTTCAAGACCAGTGTGGGCAACATCTTGAGAACAGCTTGGGCGAGACCTTGTCTCTACAAAAACATAAAAATAAATAGCTGGGCATAGTGGTGCATGCCTGTAGTCCCAGCTACTTAAGGAAGCTGAGGCAGAAGGATCGTCTGAGCCCAGGAGGTGGAGGCTGCAGTGAGCTGTGATCATGATGCCACTGCACTTCAGTCTGGGCGACAAAATGAGACACCAACTAAAATAATAACAATGACAATAATAATATTAAAATCATAATAAAGAAAAGGATTCTCTGTTAACGTCAATACATACTTGTAGGAAACCTGCTAAGTGCAGGCCAGGTGCTGGGCCCCCACATGAATGAAAGACACAGGAGTGAGAGGCGCTGGTGAGGTTCCATGGGGCTGGCTCTGCCCCTCCCCCAGGTGACCTGGAGGCAGGTGGTCTGGGAGCCACACTCTGAGAGACGCCGAGACACAGCCACCCTCCATCACACCTCCAAGTGTGGGCCTAGGACTGGCAGCATTGGCAACACCTGGGAACCGGCCAGAAAGGCAGAGTCCCATTCCAGACCTGCTGGATCAGAATCTGCCAGAATTCGCATGGTCACAAGATGTCCTGCTGACTTTTCTGCACATTAGCGTTTAAGGGGCAGTAGCCCTGAGCCCCGGTTCTCACTGGAACTGCACATGGGAATCATCTGGGGAGATTTTTTTTTAATTCTTGGGGCTAGGTCTCACCCAAGATCATCACATCAGAATCTCTGGGGTGGGGCCTGGCCCCAGCAACGTTCAGGCCTCTCCAGGTGACGCCAGCCTGCAGCCCAGTGTGGGAACCAGAATCCTAGGAAGAGGCACAGCTGCTGACTAGATGGAAATGAATGGACCAGACAAAACCAGGCTTTCTTCAGACCGGAAAATTCCACCAGCCTAAGAATGTTTGGACCTAGGATTCTTTGGGTCTAAGTCTGAGAGTCTGTGAGTTCTGGGATCTCGAATTCCAACCTGTTTTGGGTCTGAAATGGGAAATGCCCCCGGTGGTTGGTAAGTAGAGAGAGCATGAAAAGTTGGGGGGCTGCTGGGCTGGCCCCTGGAGCCCTGGGACAGACAAGCCCCATGGCTTGATGATGATTAGATGTTGAGCTCTGGGGAGAAGAGTGATGCCTCAGGCCTTGGGTTGCACAGCTGTAAATGCAGGTGGGCACCAGGCTGATCTGTATTGGGCTAGGGGGTGGATCCCCGCCGCTTCCTCCCCCAACTCTGTGCTCCTGATTGTAGTTTCCAGGGTCCTACCTCTGCCTGAGACCCTCAGACCCAGCACCATGGCTAAACCAGACCAGAACATGGAGCTGAATCGTCTGGTCCAGGACCCACCTGGGCCGGCTTCCCCAAACCCGGTGGAGCACCTCCCCAATGTGCCCAGCTACCGTCCCCCCATCACCCGCATCCCTGTCCTCACCTCCCGGAGAACCACCTTGTCCAACTCCAGCTTTGCCAAGAAGACCAGGAGCTCCATCCGTCGCCTAGGTAGCATGGTCTCGCCCGCCCAACACATGCGTGTCTGTGGCGTGGCTTCTGCATGGCTTGGGCTGTCTTCTGGTGTGGGTGCCCGGGCATGGCATGGGACCACAGGTTGTGCTCATGAAAAATCACTCCCTCTTTTTCTGCTGATCAACGCCTTCCTCCTGCTTTGTGGCGGTGACTGGAGAGGTTTTAGTCCCCTTCTCTCCACAATGCGCAATCCATTTATTTGGGCTAAACATTCCTTTCTGTAGGTCCATCATTTCTACTCACACCTTAGTTTAAACAAGTCACTCAGATCTCCAGACCAAGAGGCTTGGGCAAGGAGCTGGGGTAGGGGTAGGGACATAGAAGAGCAATGTGGGGCCCATCGCAGACAGGATGTCTGAGAGTTTGCTGGGAGCTGGACTTCCTGAGTACTGTTGATAACTGCTCAGCAAATTCCATTTCAGGAAGGGAGATGCCCCATTTGAACAGAATTAAGAAGCTTTCCTGCCGGAATATACGTAACTAAATAAAAAAGGTAGCCGGGCTCGGTGGCTCAGCCTGTAATCCCGCGCCTTTGGGAGGCTGAGGTGAGTGGATTGCCTGAGCCCGCGGGTTCGAGACCCGCCTGGGCAGCGAGACCTCATCTCTACAATAAATCAAAAAAAAATTAGCCAGGCATGGTAGTGCGTGCCTGTAATTCCGGCTACTCGGAAGGCTGAGGCGGAAGGATTGCCGGAGCCCAGCAGGTCGAGGCTGCGGTGGCCGGGAGCGGCCACTGCACTCCAGTCTGGGCGACTGAGTGAGACTCCAACTCAAAAAAAACAAAAACAAAAAATAAATAAATAAATAAGGTAATCTAGCACCCGGGAGCACTTTGGGAAGCCGAGGCAGGAGGATCTCTTGAGGCCAGGAGTTTGAGACCAGTCTGGGCCACATAGTGAGACCTTGTCTCTACCAAAAAAAAAAAAAAAATTAGCCAGGCATGGTGGTACACTCCTGTAGTTGCAGCTATTCAGGAGGCTGAGGTGAGAGGATTGCCTGAGCCCAGGAGGTCAGGGCTTTGGTGAGCTATGATTGTGCCACTTCACTTCAGCCTGGGTAGCAGAGTGAGACTCTAACTCAAAAATCAATAAATAAGAGACTCCAGTGAAAGAAAAACAGTAAGTGATACAAATAGAGCTGGGACAGAATACAACGATACCCGGAGTGGTCTGTGGGGTCTGGGGTGGCAGATGGTGGGGAGAGGCCTCCCTAGGGGCCAGTACATAGTGGGCCTGTCACTTAATTGGTGGCCTTTGGGCTGTCACCACTCATTGCCTAATGACAAAGCGCTCAGGAACACACTGGCACCTCTGGGCTAACCCTGTCACCTCCTGCCTTAACCTAAGCCAAGCCCACCCTCTCTCCCGCTGGCTTGTCTGGCTTGGGTGAACATCAAGCAAGGTTGCCCTGAGATCAGTCCAGGCAGGAGCTGGACATTCCGCAGGAAGGAATCCCGTTTCCTCCCATTTTCCTGACTTGAGGTAGGCACAGAGAAGGGTGAGGTGACATGAGGGTCACCCTGCAATGAGAGGTGGGAGTCCAGGCCACGCTTCCTGGTGGGCAAGCCTCGAATCTGTTATACCGCCCCAGTCCCCATAGACCACTCCAGGTATTACTGTATTCTGTTCCGGCTCTACTTTTATTACTTATTGTTTTTCTTTCACTGGAGTTGCTTATTTATTTATTTTTGAGTTGGAGTCTCACTCTGCTGCTCAGGCTGGAGTGAAGTGGCATAATCAGAAGTCACCAAAAACTTGATCTCCCAGGCTCAGGTGATCCTCCCACCTCAGCCTCCCGAATAGCTATGACTATAGGAGTGTACCACCATGCCCAGTTAATTTTTTTTTTTGTAGAGACAAGTTCTCACTATGTTGTCCAGGCTGGTCTTGAAGTCCTGGCCTCGAGAGATCCTCCTGCCTCAGCCTCCCAAAGTCCCCTCTGGTGCTCCCCACCACATGCAGACTAGATTCTCTTTTTTTATTTAGTTAAGTATATTCAGGTGGGAAAACTACTTGTTACTGTTCAAATGGAAAGCCAGCATTGTTTGCCATAATTAGAAGGCATAAATAAAAATATCCACAAATACACTGAAAATAAACGGGTGTTGACAGTGTCTGGTGAGTTCCATGGTCTCCTGAAGGCTCACAGCTGAGGCCTCTCTCTTAGCCAAAAGGAGGATTAGGCCGTATCAGAAAGGCATTAAGGCCGTGGCAGCACTAACCTGAGACTTCCTCTCTGCGTATTCAGGACCTAGAATTAAAATGAGAGCAACGTCCTCACTCCATGAGCCCCTCTGCCTTGTCTGTATGACCTAAACTTACTTGTGTCCTCCCTGGTCCCTGGGAACCCCACATTTGGGAAATGTTCCCAGTGACACCTTGGGCCAGTCGACTGACCTGGCTGTGGTATGACATGCCATGAGTTTAGATGCTGCAGATGAGGCAACGAGAAATGTAGGAAGACATTATTCCCCCTGCAGGGACACCGCTTGGAGCCTTCTGAGCTGAGATTTCATGTTGATGGAGGCCTCCCCCTGCGCGGGTCACCAGTCTCAGGACAACTCCAGCATCTAAGCTCCACGGCAGACTGCTGGCTCTGTGCAACCTTAACCTCTCTGTGCTTCTGTTTCCCGTCCACAAAATGCAGGCATGACAATAACTTGGGGCAGCTGGGATGGTTAAAAGAGTCAATATCTGTAAAAGCACTTAGAGCCGAGCAGAACGGTGCCTAGCAGGCACATAAGAAGGGCTCAGCAGTCAACGGTATTCTTCAAACCAATTTAATAATGCAACATTATTCTTTATACTGGGGATGCCAAAAAAAATGTATGCACAGTTTAAGAGATGTTACCTATGTTACCTATTACTTTTTGAAGTTGGATTATGGTAGCAATGTGTAGTATGACATTTGCTCAAAAGATGGCATTCATCAAATGAACGCTAGTTGATATCACCATGCGATGGGCAGGATTGTCAAAATGGCAGAAGCACGGTTGTCATTCAAGGAGCACAAGACCAATTTGAAGTGGTATTTGGAATTCGAGAACGTTGTGGAACTGCAACAACAATGGAGGCGTGAGTATGCCACAGAACCTCTAACACGTCTGACGATTCACGCATTTGCGATAAATGTGAGACGCATTGTACTGTGTGTGACGTGCACAAGGGAAGATCTGGGAAACCTTGCACAGTAACAAGTCCTGCATTAGTTCGCCATCATCAGAAGTGTCTGGACGCTCATGGTCACCATTGTGAGCACCTCTTGTAACTGCAGGAGTCAAACGTGGCTTGTATTCATCTTTTGTTATCGGTATATCATGAGGATTACAGTTTTAATACGGTTTTTTCCTTTATTAAAATGTGTATACATTTTTGGCACCCTCTGTATTTTTAATATTGTCTCAGTCTATAAATCCATATGATGTAAAATCAAATCATTTCTATTTTGAGTTCCCACTCTACTAAGCTGATGGGAAATGAAACCTCATTCTTAGGGGCTTCCGTCCTCTCTTGGGGGGATCAAGGCTGCAGGGTCTTACCCAGCACAAGGCAGGGGATTGAGGGACCATCTGCCCCCTCCCAGGCTCCCGGAGACAGCCTCTCGGATGCTGAGGCCTGGGTGCTTTCTGCCGCCTGGGGCTACGCGCGGCCATGAACATATCTGAGAGGGTGCCCTTGACTCAGGTGCCTCCACATCCCGTCCCCTCTCCCAACTCACCACTCCTGGGCTGCTGGGAAGCAGAGTGAGGTGGCCTCTGCCTCACACTCTCTCCTTCCCAGGCAGCCTGGGGAATCTCTTGCTAGTCATACTTTCTTTTTGAGTTGGAGTCTCACTCTTGTCGCCCAGGCTGGTGTGTAGTGGCATGCTCACGGCGATCCGTGTCAACCTGCTGGGCTCAGGCGATCCTTCCGCCTCAGCCTTCCAAGTAGGCAGAACTACAGGCGTGCACTACCGCACCCAGTTGATTTTTTTATTAATTGCAGCGATGAGGTCTTGCCAAGTTGCCCAGGCTGTTCTCAATCCCATGGGCTCAGGCAATCCTCTCATCTTGGCCTCCCGAAGTGCTGGGGTTTGCAGGCTTGAGCCACCGTGCCCAGCCTAGTCATACATTTTTTAACAACTTCTCCATTCCTGCTCATCCCCTTCTCCAGAGGGCTTAGGGTTTAGTAAAATGAAGTCTTAAAGCCTCCTTTGTTTCTGTTCATCAAACTGAAATAAGTGGAAGTAACTTCACAAAGTGCTGCCTTTCTCATGACAGCCATAAACACACACTCACATGCATGCATCTCCAATTATTTCAAAATGCTTCTCCTCCCCATTTCGGGGGCTGTGCTCCTGCCTTGCTGGTGCCAGACCTGTGCCTGGCTGCTGTAGGGTGGTCTTACCTGGGTGGGGGGGGCACCATCCCAGCCCCTCAGCATCCTCTGATCTTGGACTTGGGGCAGACCAGTCCCCACAGTCCCTGAGGTGGGTTGGAGCCCAGGTAGGGCCATGCCTGGGCTCCCCAGGGAGGACCTGATTCTCAGAGTGTGGGACATGACATCAGGCCTCATAGAGGTCCAGAGATAAGCTGCTTTATGCATCTGGAGGGCTCCTGACATGAACAAGAATAAGGACATGCCAAGGCAGGTATCCAAAGAGGAAGTAGCAGATGCTACAAAGGCAGTCTGTTGCCTTGATTGGAGAGAAACTCCCAATATTTCCACTGATGTTCTTTAAGAATGGGAGTATTTGGCTGGGCATGGCGGTTCACACCTGTAATCCCAGCACCTTGGGAGGCTGAGGCAGGAGGATCACTTGAACCCAGGAGTTCAAGACCCACCTAGGCACATAGTAAGACCTCGTCTCTACAAAAAAAATTTAAAATTTAGCCTAGTGTGGTGGTGCACTTGTAATCCCAGCTGCTCAGGAAACTGAGGCAGAAGAATCTCCTGAGGCTAGGAAGTTGAGGCTGTGATGAACCAGGATCATGCCACTGCCCTCCAACATGGGTGAGAATGAAACCCTGAGTCAAAAAAAAAAAAAAAAAGAATCAGAGGCTTTGGGCCTCCTGGTCCCTCCTCCACGGCCTGGGAAGGCATTATCACCCTACCTTGGAAGGGAGAAACTAAGGCTCAGAGAGGGTGACCCAAGCTGTGCTAGGCCAGAGCCCAGGGCCCCAGCTCCCACAGTCCCCTCTCTGAGAGCTGCCATCCCCCTAGGTCCATGATGCTTGCCCAAGCAAAGGGAGACCAGAATGGGCTGCAGGGAACTGGGCTCCAGGCTGTGTCTTCTTGGCTTCTTTTGTGGCTCCTCGGCCATGGATATGGTGGCCGTGGCTCTCCGAGGACCCTGGGCACTGCATTCTTGCACCCCCTGCATGGAGCTTTCCTGTATGCCGCACTGGGAGGTGCAACTACCTGAGCCCCTCTAAATATGCTTTCTGCTTTCTTCCTCAAGCACACAGCCAGGCTCCTGGGACCTGGTTCTCTCTTTGATTCTCTCCTTCCTCTCCTCAAGTGCCTGCCACAAAAGAGCACCCAGAATTGCTGGTGGAAGACATTGATGCTGACAGCTATCCCGTCATCATGGAGGAGAACCTATCTTCATCTGTGCTGCTGCCGCCGCCATCTCCTGACACCCTCACGGTCCCGGGCTTGGCCTCGGAAACACACAGGTTACCTTTTATCCTTCTCTTGGGCTTTACTTGATGCTGTGTCCCCTGTCCATGAGGCAGATGAGGAGACTGAGGTCAGAGAGGGGAAGCAGCTGGCCCAAAATCACAGAGTGGTTTGGGGTCAGAACTGGGACCATGATTGGTTCCTGGTTTTCCTAATTGTTAGCTTGGGGCTCTTATAGAGGCTCTCATAGGAGGCTCGGTTCCAGATACCCTCAGCTGTAGATTAGAAAGGGTAATATAATAATAAATACTATAATAATATATACTAAATATGACAGAATTTCTACTCCCTTATTTTTTGACAGGATGCTATTTACTAAAAATTGCATATGAGTCAGGCTTGGTGGTTCAGCTTGTAATCCCAGCACTTTGGGAGGCTGAGACGAGTGGATTGCCTGAGCCCACGGGTTCTAGACCAGCCTGGGAAACTTGGCGAGACCTCATTTCTACAATAAATTTAAAAAAAAATTAGCTGGGCGTGGTAGTGCGCCCCTGTAGTTCAGGCTACCTGGAAGGCTGAGGCAGAAGGATCGCCAGAACCCAGCAGGTCGTAGTGAGACTCCAACTCAAAAAAGAAAAAAAAGAGAAAAAAATTACATCATTATAATTCACTGGGTCTTTTTCCAGCCCTCTTAGGTCTCTAGATTTTTTCCCCTTGTATGACTGACACTCTATGCCCATTGAACAGAAACCCCCATTCCTCCCTTAATCCCCATCCCAGCCACTGGCAACCAATCCTCCTTTCTGTTTCTGTGAGTTTGTCTACTTTAGAAACCTTATATGCATGGTATCATGCAGTATTTGTCTTTTTGTGACTGGCATATTTCATTTGGCATAATGTAAAGGTTCATCCATGTTGTAGCATATGACAGGATTTCCTTCCTTTTTAAGGCAGAATAATATTCCATTGTATGGATGTACCACATTTTGTGTATCCATTCATTCATTGATGAACATTCAGGTTGTTTCCACCTCCTGGCTATTGTGAATAACGCTGCAATGCACATGGCCGGGCAAATATCTCTTGAAGATCCTGACTTCAATTTTTTTGGATAAATACTCAGAAGTGGGATTGCTGAATCACATAGAGATTCTATTTTTAATTTTTTGAGGGAACACCACACTGTTTGCCACAGCAGCTGCACCATTTTACATTCCCACCAACAGTGCACAACAGTTCCTATTTTTCCACATACTCATCAACATTCGTTATTTTCTGCTCTTTAAAATTTTTATTTTATTTTTATTTTTTATTTTTACGTTAGAATCTCACTCTGTCACCCAGGCTGGAGTGCAAGTGGCACGCTAACGGCCACCGCAGCCTCGATCTGCTGGGCTCAGGCAATCCTTCCACCTCAGCCTTCCAAGTAGCTGGAACTACAGGTGTGTGCTACCATGTCTGGCTTATTTTTTGATTTATTGTGGAGATGAGGTCTCACCAAGTTGCCCAGGCTGGTCTCGAACCCCTGAGCTCAGGCAATCCTCGCACCTCGGCCTCACAAAGTGCTAGAATTACAGGCTTGAGTCACTGTGCCTAGCCTTAAAATTTTATTTTAATAATGATAATTCTGACAGGTGTGAGGTGGCACTTCATGTGATTTTGATCTGCATTTCCCTGATGATTAGTGATGCTGAGCACTTTTTCACATACTTGTTGGTCATGTGTATCTTCTTTGGAAAAATGTCTATTCCAGTTCCTTTGCCCATTTTTTAGTTAGGTGATTTGTTTGTTTTTCTATTGAGTGTAGGAGTGTCTTATATATTTATCAGATATACGATTTGCAAATATTCTCTCCCATTCTGTAGGTTTTCTCTTCACTCTATTGGTCATTTCCTCTGCCATGCAGAAGCTTTCTGGATTGATATAATCCTCATCTATTTTTTCTTTTGTTACCTATGCTTTTGGTGTTAGCCCTCATTTTATTAGATAATAGAACGGAAACACCACAGAACACTAGAAAAATTATCATCTATAATCCCACTACACAGGGTGGTGTTTTGTTGCTCTGTATTCTCTTCCATCCCTTGTTTAAATGCTCACAGTTTTGTGTCATTCTAATTGAAGAAGTAATCCAGTTTGAGGTGCCAGCTCATTCCATGAACCCTTTCCGTATAGCTCGGCTGTCTCTTTGGTATTCATTTATGATGGCTGTGTGCTATTCCTCCAACTCTGTGTGCTGGAATGAATTCGACAAATCCCCTCTGGTTGGGCCCCACACACAATGGCACTATGACATGTGTTTGGTCTTCTGCTCTCTGTCCTGGGCTCCTTTCTCAAGAGTGGGACTTCTGGTCAAGACTGTGAACATTTTTGTGCCTCTTGAGATAAGTCTTGCTGAGTGGTTGGAGTTGCTTTTAGATGTTTGCCAGGTAATTGGGAGAAGGTCCTGTAGGTAAACTGTCAAGGGCAGGACTGTTTGAATGACTATTTAACCTAAGGGGAGCTGTCCATGCTGCTGCTGCACCCTGGATGAAAAAATGGCTCTTTTTTCTTAATTAATGTTTGCTCTCAACCATGGGCTCCTGAAGAGTTTCTCAGCTAAGATTAGGAGCCTGCCATAATGGAGATAGCTGGCAAACTAAGAACCTTTCCAATTTTAACATGGAGAAAAGAGACATCATCTCACAGGGCCTAGGAACACAGCTGACATCTCCATCAGTGGTCATGTTTAGTTCACTGAATGATGCACAGGTCACATTAGAAAGTGTGGAAATGCCTCCACCATGGATGTAGACATATGTGTTCACTTTATAGGGGCAGGGAAACTATACTAACTGGGCTGGGGGGAGGGGGATATTTAGGGGGACAGGGAGGGGACCAAGGTTATGTGGGATTAGAATCCAAGCCTCTGGCCTTTTTGCTTATGAGCTGGGCCTGTGAGGCCTCTCTCCTTCCTGTGATTCAGTCATTCATTCATTCATTCAAGTATTCACAAACATGTATTAAACATCTTCACATATCAAGCTCTGTTCCAGGTGCTGGGGATACATCAAAGAGAAGCCTGACAGGGTCCTGCCTGCCCTCATGAGACTGACATTCTAGTGGAGCTGAGATAGACAATGAACAAGTAACCAAATAAACAAGGGCTAAGCTGAATATGACCATGAGAAATGGTGTGGGGAACCTCTGCCTGAGCTTAGCCAGTGCCAAGCGGGGAGAATTCTGCAGCCTCCTCTAGAGGCCAGGCCGGTGGGGCTGACTGTGGTCAGGGACAGAATGAACATTGAGAGCTACTGACCAAGACCAAAAAGCCGCAGGGCCACAGGCCCTGATGGGAGCACTCGGGCAGGGCCCTTCTTGCAGGTTAAGGCCGTGGTTTGGAACAAATCCCAGCTCACCACTTGTAGGATATGGGTCTTAAAGCGAGTCACCTAACCCTCCTAGGCCTCCACTTTCCTGTTGTAAGAGGAGGATAAAAATACCACCTGTCTCTAGAATTGTCGCAGGCCTCTAGTGAGCTGCTGCTCTGTGAGGCACTCACCACAGGGCCAGGCACAGGTACTGTGGGAGGCTCAGGGGCTGCTGGCTTCCATCCTCACTCTGGGCTCTCTGGGCAGCCTGAGCCTTCCAGGGACGCCCTCCCTTCTCCACTGGGCTGGGTGCCGGAGGACTGACATTAGGCCCTAGTCTTCTTGTGTGGGGTTGTCCTCTTAATTTAGAGTGTGATAGAAGTGAATCCGTGACATTTTCCATCCTAGGGGAAGTGGTAGAAGGTAACGGAATAGTGTCAGAGCCTTCTGGAATACAGGTGGATGCTGCACGTTCCCCGTGCTGTAATCCCCCCAGAAGCCCTAATGATGGAATCCTGAGTCACGGTGGGCAAGGCTGGGGAAGAGAGTGCTGGTCTGGAAGCCTGGCACTGCTCGGGTTTGGGCCCTAGCGGGGTGTTGCCTCGGTGCGATGAAGGCCTGGGCCCCGCCCCCCGGCCGCCCGCCCAGCTCTGCGATTGGCCCTGAGCGGTTGGAGTAGGCGCTGCTGTGAGCCTCTGGGGAAGAGGGGCAGGTTTCAGCAGGTTTGGGCAGTTCGGGGCTTGGCCCTGGGGTGTGCTCCCGGAGAAGGGGCCAGAGTCAGGGCTCCTCCTCTGACTCTCCCCCTGGGAGGAGGTTGAGGGATGGGGCCCAGGCTGGAGTTTCCAGCTTCCGTCGGGGACCGCAGGGTGACAGCTGGAGATCCTCATCTGGCTCCCGTCCCAAGGTGAGGCTCCCTTTGTGGATTCCATTTCTGATCAAACCACACTGAAGCGAGGGCCTTGGTGAAAGGTAATCACGCCCGTAATCCCAGCACTTGGGAAGTGGAGGCGGGAGGATCACTTGAAGCCAGGGGTTTGAGACAGTCTAGGCAACATAGCGAGACCTCCTCTCTACCACTAAAAAGAACAATAAAAATAAATAAAAATAGGCGGGCGCGGTAGCTCAAGCCTGTAATCCCAGCACTTTGGGAGGCCGAGGAGAGAAGATTGCCTGAGCTCGTGGGTTTGAGTACAGCCTGGGCAACTTAGCAATACCTGTCTCTACAAAAAATCAAAAAATAAACTGGGCGTGGTAGCACACACCTGTAGTTCCGGCTACTTGGAAGGCTAAGGCAGAAGGATCCCTGGAGCCCGGCAGGTCGAAGCTGTGGTAGCTGTGAGTGTGCCACTTCACTCTAGCCTGGGTGACAGAACGGGACTTCAACTAAAAAAAAAAAAAAAAGTACCTGGGCATGGTGGCATGTGCCTGTATTCCCAGCTACTCGAGAGGCTAAGGCTGAAGAATCACCTGAGCCCAGGTGGTCGAGGCTGTGGTGAGTTGTGATTGTACCACTGCACTACAGCCTGGGTAACAAGAGTGAGATCACGACTCAAAAAGAAAAAAAGAAAAAGGTAATAATGAGTTTTTCTTGGGGGACACCAAGGTCTTAGGACCTATTTTCTAGAACTCAGTCCTCTCATTTTGCTTTCAGCTTCACAGTTAAAGACCCCAGCAAGGCTATTCTGTGTTTCCCCAAGCTGATAGCACTATTGCATTTAGCACACTGCACTCTGACCTTCACAGCAGGGACCCAGCCTCTGCAACCATCTTCTGGTTCTAACTCTCCCAATTTACATTTTATCTTCATGTCCCCAAAGCTGGCCTTCCTGAGCTTCTCCAGCTGTGCATGTCACCATGTCATGCCTACTTTCGGCACACTCAGGTTCAAGTCTTAAACCCTCGTCTTCTTGTTCCAACTGTTCTGACATGTCTTGATGTGCTAACAATGTGCTAACACACGTGATTCCATGTATTAAACTCACATCCACATCCCTAGCCTCCTGATTTCACATGCTAACACTGCTTTTTATTTTTTATATGCTAAGACAAGTCATTAAGAAACGGCCAGTCTTCTCCACCAGCACTCAATTCATTCACTTGTAAACTGTTGTTCATAGGTAGAAACACACCTGAGCTAGCTTGCTAGTTTAGAAATTTATCTCCCTGTCCCTCTTTCACAGCCTTTCATGTTCCTCAGCAAAACAATCCATTCTTACTGCTGGGACAGTGGAGGGGAAATCCAGAGAGATAACCCTTAAAATGCTGGGGTAACATAGTATCAAAGGGACCATTTCCACCAAGTCAGACCACCCAGGCTCCAACCTGTCGACCTTAGACCAGGGGCAGGTTGGGTGAGAGCTTTCTTGTCTCTTTCAGGTGGATTTCAGACCTAGACATATCAGCCAAGACACTGATGGTTCCAAAATGCAACTTTTTTGTGTGTGTGTGTGTGTGTGGAGTTGAAGTCTTGCTACATTGCCCAGGCTAGTCTTGAACTCCTGGACTCAAGCAATCCTCGTGTCTCAGTTTCCTAGAGTGCGAAGGTTACAGGCATGAATCGCTGCACCCTGGCCAAAATGCAGCATTCTTTGCCAGACTTAGATTTCCAGAGTGACAAGAGAATCCAGGGATAATTTCGTTCTTATTCTTTAGATAGGGAACTTGGAGCTCAAGAGGGGATGGGACTTACCCAAGGTCACACCATGAGCTAGAGACTGGATTCCGTGGCCTTCTCTGGCAGCTGAAAGGGTGGTGTGATAGAGAATGGTAGGGTGATGTGGGGAGGGGAGTAGTTGTAGACTGGGAGCAGGAGGGAGAAGGAAGTTTAAGATGAGAACTGACTGAGTGATAAGCATCTCATTGAGTTGGGTCGATGTAGCCCCATTTTGCAGAGGGGAAAGCTGGCATAGCTCAGAGACTTTAAGCAACTCTCCAAGGTCACAGACTGGTAAGAGGCTAACTCTCTTGGGGGTGTTTAGAAATTTATCTCCCTTTCCCTCTTTCTCGGGCTTTCTTGTTCTCCAGCAAAGCAATCCATTTTTACTGCTGAGACAGTGGTGGGGAAATCCAGAAATCAAGTTTGCCTGATACCCAGTCAATGCTGTTGCCTTTTGCCAGACCATAGAACAGATGCAAAGACTGAGTTCCTGAGAGTGATTGTGCACCTCTTTCTTCCATTTTTGCCTCCCTCCAGGCAAATGAGGACCCTTTGGCAACACCATCTTCCCCCGCCCCACCCCCTACCCAGGAATTGGCTCTAGGTGACCTTTAGGGGTCAAGGTCATTTCACTTCCCCCTAGAACCCCTGCCATCACTGAAGGCCCCTTCCATGTCTGTGTGCTTGCAGAAAGAAGCTGCAGTCTCCGGATGATGAGGATGAAGAGCTCAAGGCGCTGTCACGAGCCGAGTCCCCAATGATCGCGTGGCCAGACCCCACCAACCCAAAGGATACTGAGTGAGTAGGGGCCAGCTCTGAGGCTTCAGAGTTGGAAGGCTGGATGGGGTGGGTGGGTGAGGGGAAGTTGGAGGGAGCATGGATGTTTTTAGAACCCTCTACCATAAGGCGGACTTTGCCAGTAGCCTTTGAGTAGTAAGCAGGGCTGGGTCTCCTGCCCAGGCTGCATGTGGTTGGCCTGGGAGTCCTGCAAAGTCTGAAGAGTGGGCTCCAACCCTGGGCCCAGCTGTGTCCATGGCTAGCAGTGCTGGGAGAGGGAGATGTCTCCAGGCAGAGGTCCCCTTGTGAAGGGAGACTGAGGGGAGCCACTGAACAGGTCAGTGGTGACAGGGAGGATCACCAAAATCTCCAGTGGGTCCTACCCCAGGGAACTTGTGAAGAATGAAAGATTCCCAGGCCCACCCAGCTCCACTGGATCAGAACCGCGGACAGTGGGCCTGGGATGTGAAGTCGACAATTTCACAAGCTCCCTGGATGATTCTGGTGTGACTGGTCTGTGGTACAATGTTTAGGGGGATGCTGTGACAGCAGTGGGACCTGGGTCTCCACAGCTAACTGTCCCAAGGGCTGGGCCAATGGGAGGTGTTTTCTGAAGGGTCGGAGTAGTCCTGGTTGATGGGGAATGCCCCGGCCTTGGGCTCTGCCTGGAATCCCCATCACACTCCTGGATTAGCCACAGGAGATATTAGGTTTTCCTTCGTCCTTCCAGTCTTTTTTCTTTCTACAGTCGTATGCAGTTTATGCTTAACAGAATTACAGTACATTCAGAAAAGATAAGGAAACAGGGAAAACCCTCAACCTCCACTGTAATACACAGTGGAGTCTCATTTTAGGTAGTAGGACAGGAATAGGTTAGGAGTTAATATCAGAAAATAAGGCAGAAATTAGGTATAATAATAAAAATTAACCCTGAAAACTCTTAAGGTCAACTTGGAGACCATGTATCAGCTATGTAGACTAAACTGCTGTAACATATAGAACCCAAAGGTTCAGTGGCTTAAGGAACAAGATGTCTCATATGTTACGGTCATCTCACTAGTTGCATGTTTTATTAGTTGCAGAAGGCCCTGCTCCATAAAATCATGGAGGGGCCCAGCTGACAGCAGCTCAACCACCTTCTCTGTGTGGCTTCCAAGAGCCCACTGGTAACCCCTAGAAAGTGAGAGCTCCAGGCCTTTCTTCAGCAAGGAGGCCCAAGATTGTGTGCATCATGTCAGCTCACATTCCAGTGGTGAGAGCTCACCCACCCACGCCTGGGGAGTATAGTCCCTGTCTGTGTGACTCTATCCCAGTGATTACTCACCAGTGGCAGGAACGGATGTGGGGGAGCACCTCGTGTCTCTGCCATAAGTGTGTTCTGTTCCATCTCTCTAGAAGACCCCACACTGCTTGTCTCCATCCCAGCTTCCTCAGTTGAACACAAGAAGAGTAGTTGACTGGAGTTTCTGTGCCTTGATACATGAAAAAAAAATTAATACTCAGCTCAGTGAGATGATCACAATGAGGCCACTCAGAGGAGAGCAGATGCACACAGGCTGTCTCACCTCACCCAGGACACTCAGGAATGAGGCAGGCGCTCATTCATTCTCTGTCTTTCTTTTGCTGCCAGTGCATAAACTTTAATTCCTGTAAGTTAAAGGGCTATATAATATATCTGCACTGCTTTTTTCACTAGCTATTTCCTAAGGCTAAAAAAGTAGCCCTTGCTAGGTGCGGTGGCTCATGTCTGTAATCCCAACACATTGGGAGGCAGAGACAAGAGGATTGCCTAAGCCCATGGGTTCGAGACCAGCCTGGGAAACATGGCAAGACCTCGTCTCTACAATAAATTTTTTTAAAAAAATAGCCAGGCGTGGTGGTGCATGCCTGTGGTTCCAGTTACTTGGAAGGCTGAGACAGAAGGATCACCTGAGCCCAGCAAGTTGAGGCTGCAGTGGCTGCCGTGGTTGACAGAGTGAGACCCCGACTCAAAAAAAAAGTAACTCTGTTCCCCTCTCTGTTCTTCCCTGGTCACGTATCTCATATGAACCCCAAACTGGAACTAACGGCCCTATATTGCTGAACTCTAAACTGAGTTCCAAGAGAAGAGTTTCCCCTAAATTACAAGTGAAATCAAAGTTTTTTCAGAACTGCCCATGTGATCAGTGCCTGCATGGTACATTTCCTAAAAGCTGGGCCGGAGCACTGGGGAATTCTCACGAACTGAATTTCCTCTGGAGGCATATTACAGTGGGCCTGTGGTTTCTGATGTCAGAAGGAGACAGGGACAGGACTTACCTCCTTCAGGCTCTGCCAGAAGATGGGACACAGACGCGGCCTGGCTCTGGCCTGGGGGCACAAGGATGTCTTCCCACTCAGCTCACTCAACTTGGGTGGTGTTCCCACAGTGACCAGGACCGTGCGACCTCCGCAGCTAGCATGAACAGCACCCTCATCAATGACCGGCTCCAGGAGCTGGTGAAGCTCTTCAAGGAGCGGACAGAGAAGGTGAAAGAGAAACTCATCGACCCTGATGTCACCTCCGACGAGGATAGCCCCATGCCCTGTGAGTCTGGAGTTGAAGGTGGCCAGTGATGGGGTGGGGCCCCAAGTTCCCTGTCAACTCATGGTGAGAGTGGCCCAGGGAAATAGCTAAAGTGCACGAGAGAAGCCCAGATTCCCCCTCTCTAGGTATGGGGCCCCATATGTAGTGGTTTAGATACATACCCCAAAATGGGAAGAAAATTGAAGTTCTGACCAACAGTCCAGTCGTCCTTGGCTCCCTCTCTCACAGGGCAAGCACTTCCATGGATCCTTCTGCCCCTTTCACACTGGTAGGTGGGTGGTGCCGCCCCAAAATGTATCTCGTGTTCTTACACTTAAATGGCATCCACAAGAACTAGACAGTCTTATTTTTCGAGGCCTCAGTGCCTTGGAAGTTCTCATGGTGCTATCTGACAGTTTCTTTTGAGATATCAAGAGGAAATCAGAAACATGCTTCCTTGTCAGGAAGATGTTTTCAGGTCTTCCCAGATGAAGGCTATGTCTTGGAATTCATCGTACCCAAAATGGACCCAGCAGAGTCTAACTTCCCAATCCTAAAACTAGAAACATAGCCATATTGAACCTAAAGGAGCCAATCCCTAGGTCACCAAAAGCATCATCACTGATGCACAGGGAGGCTGTGCACGTTCTCCCTCATCTCTCAAAAGAGGTTTTTAGAGATGAAGGAGAACCGGGGACAGTGGCTCACGCCTGCCGTCCCAACACTTTGGGAAGCTGAGGTGAGAGGATTACCTGAGCCCAGGGGTTCAAGACCAACCTGGGCTACTTGATGAGACCCCATCTCTACACAGATCCAAAAATTAACCAGGTGTGGTGGTGTGCACCTGTGGTCCAGCCACTTGGAAAGCCGAGGCAGAAGGATCACCTGAGCCCAGCAGGTCCAGGCTACCGTGGCCATGCGCATGCCGCTGCACTCCAGCTTGGGTGACGGAGTGAGACTCCTACTTAAAGAGAGAGAGAGAGAGAGAAAGGAGCTGAGACGCCCCCTCAAAAGCTTGGAGCAACATTTCCCTGACATTGCTGGGCCCTTCAGCATTCTGAATGATGGGATGTGGGAGCACTAGGCACAAAATGCCCCCAACCCATGAGACAGAACCGAGAGGATCCAAACACAGACACACAGGCAGACACCAAAATATCAACATGTCCAGAAACAACTCATTTTGGGCAGCTTCTGAGAGGCAGTTCCAGATCGGTAGCTGGTAGAAGTTTCTGGGTGGGCACCCAGGTAGCTGTTGAAGAAGGAGCTATGGGGTTCGCTCCAGGACAGCACCTTGGTGTCTGCCCACAGAGCTTGCAGCAGGTTGTGTGATGGTGCCGGATCCCCTCACCTCTGGTTCCAGGGTCCGCAGTGGGGACCCTTCTCTCTGCATCTTCCACCTGGGCCTCAGGGTTGGGTCAGATGGTCACCCATGTTGTCCCACAGCCCCTGCCAAGAAAGCCCCAGAACCAGCTCCGGAACCAAAGCCTGCCGAAGCAGGGCCGACGGATGAGGAGCACTATTGTGACATGCTCTGCTGCAAGTTCAAGCGCCGCCCCTGGAAGATGTACCAGTTTCCACAGAGCATTGATCCACTGACCAGTGAGTCCTGGGTGGGCACGGTGTTCCTGCTGTGTAGCCCAAGATGGGGTGGGGAAGATGAGAGAGGCAGGGTGATAGGTCACGGACAACCTGGGTTCATGACCTTTTATACTTTTCTTTTCTTTTCTTTCTTTTTTTTTGAGTTGGAGTCTCACTCTGTTGCCTAGGCTGGAGTGCAGTAACACACTCACAGCCACCACAGCCTTGACCTGCTGGGCTCAGGTGATCCTTCCACCTCAGCCTTCCAAGTAGCTGGAATTACAGGCATGTGCCACCATGCAAGGCTAATTTTTTTGGTTTAATGTAGAGATGAGGTCTCGTTAAGTTGCCCAGGCTTGTCTCGAATCCATGGGCTCAGGCAACCCTCTCACCTTGGCCTCTCAAAGTGCTGGGATTATAGGTGTGAGCCACCACACCCGATCCATTTAAAGTTTTCAAAATGATGGCACACTTCCTCATTTGACTCTTAAAACAAACCAACAAACAACCATGGAAGTCCCTGGAATAGGAGCATGAGATTACACTCATCTTACACGTGAGGAAATTAAGGCACAGAGAAGCTAACCAGGCCAAAGATGCAACTAGCTACAGCAGACCCAGGACTCCTGACTCCTGGCCAAGGTTTCTTTTTACTCTGGCCACACTGGCTCTTCCTAGAACTCCTGCTCTGAGCAGAAAATGGCAGAAGTCCTCCCAACTTCTGGAGTGAATTCCTTTCAACCCGCACCATGTTCCTCAGAAGTAACGCCATTTCTTATGTGCACAACATTTTACATTTTACAAGGGACCTCCCTGGCTCTCTCATCTTACCTTGTCCTGTGACTTCTCTAAGGGACTTTCCCAAGGTTACACAGAAAGTTATTTGGAGACCAGGATTCCAACCCTGGTGTTCACTGGGCTTCTAAAATAACCAGATGATCTACAGCATTTGTGCATCCTTCCTTCCCTTGCTCCCTCCCTCCACCCCACCCCCCTGCATTATTAACTCTTGTATATTTACTAAGGCTATAATACACTTGGGGAAAATTTCAAGAAGAATTAAAGCATGTGAGTTTTCTAGTTAGCTGTCTATTATTTAATAATACCACTGATCCCCTCCTCAGAGTACTTTGATTTTTTTTTTTTTTTTTTGAGATGGGGTTTTGCTCTGTCACCCAGGCTGGAATGCAGTGGCATGACCACAGCTCACTGTAACCTCTTGGACTCAAGCAATCACCCAGCTGATTTTTTTTTTTAAGAGACAAGGTCTTTCTATGTTGCCCAGGCTGGACTCAGATTCCTAGGCTCAAGCAATTCCCCTGTCTCATCCTCCAAAGATCTGGGATTATAGATGTGAGCCATAGCACCTGGAAGAGCTCTCTGATTTATTAAGGCCTAGCAATGGTTTGTTTTTATTTTTTTATTTTTTTGCAGAATTTTTTAAAAAGTAGAGACAAGGCATCACCTAGGCTGGTCTTGAGTTCTGGCCTCAAGTGATCCTCCCACTTCAGCCTCCCAAAGTACTGGGATTACAAGTGTGAGCCACCACGCCTGGCCTTATTTGTTTTGTTTTGTTTTGTTTGTTTGTTTGGAGTCAGAGTCTCATTCTGTCACCCAGGATGGAGTGCAGTGGCATGCTCATGGCCACTGTAGCCTCAGCCTGCTGTGCTCGCTCAGGTGATCCTTCTGCCTTAGCCTTCCAAGTAGCTGGAACTACAGATGAGCACCACCACACTTGACTAATTTTTTTTTGTTTGTTTATTGTAGAGATGAGGTCTCACCAAGTTGCCTAGGCTGGTCTCAAACTCCTGGACTCAGGCAATCCTCTTGTCTCTGCCTCCCAAAGTGCTGGGATTACAGGTGTGAGCCACCATGTCTGGCCCTCATTTGTTTTTAAAGATAGTTTTACACACAGAGAGAAGTTACAAAAGTGCCATATGTAATCATTTAAGACAAGTGCAGACATATGGAAAGAAGAAAGCCCCAGCTGGTCCCACCAGCAAAGAGCCTTGCTTGGTTGCCATTCTAGCACCTTCCCTGTCCCTTTCATGCAGACCTGATGTATGTCCTGTGGCTGTTCTTTGTGGTCATGGCCTGGAACTGGAACTGCTGGCTGATCCCCGTGCGCTGGGCCTTCCCCTACCAGACGCCAAGCAATATCCATCTCTGGCTGCTGACAGATTACCTGTGTGATCTCATCTACTTCCTGGACATCACTGTGTTCCAGATGCGCCTGCAGTTCGTCAGAGGCGGGGACATCATTGTGAGTCTCAGGCAGGAGGAGGGGTGTCCAGCATCAGACCCCTCAGCCAGCGCCTTCAGGGCACTGAACCCTCATGCTGTCACAAGCAACAAAACAAATGACCGGAGAGTTCTCAGGAGCTGCTGCCTGTGCTCGGTTGGTAGCATGGCTGCTTGCTTTGCCCAACTGTGATATGTTTAAATTATACACATCAAATGTTATTCATAGGTGAAATGGTTCCTGGGCCACTTGAGGGAATTAAGGGTGGGGAAGTGGCCCAGAGAATGGCCTTCAGTACAAGTGCACCTAGCTTGAATTCCAGCATCACCACAGCAAGCTGAGCCTCAGTTTCTCCACCTGTAGAATGAGGATAGTAATAATTCTCTTCTCATGGCTTTGCCGTGAGGATGGCTGGAATGATGTCTGCAGAGTGCTCGGCACGGGTAACTGTTGACAAGTGACGTTTCCTAGCAAGCATGTCCTGCAAAGAACACACTGGCATTCTCCTGCATGGACTAGCTTGCGATCCCATGCTCTGGGGTCCAGCTCCCACTTACCAGGGAGCTGAGGCCCTAACTGTGCTGTATCAGGAGGAGGAGACACGGTCTCCATCTCCTCGTGCCGGTCACTTCCCAAAACTCCACATTGACAGCACCTGCTCCATGCTGTGCAGACAAGTTGAGGTTTTGTCTCTGAAACCATATAGAAGAAAGAAATTCCTTGGCCAACCTCATTTCTGGCCTGATCAGAGTAGTTGCCAGCTCCTTCATAAAGTCACAAATAGTCCAGGTAAGACCAGTGGGCAGAGAGAAAGAAGTTAACATCCTCCATTTCCACCAAAAAATCAGAATCTAGCTGGGTGGTCCTTGACAAGTGCCTGCTCCCTGGAGCCTCCATCTCTCCAACCATAAAGCTCCAGGCTCTGACCAAAACCCAGCCTATCCGGGGGCCTGCTACACTCATGAAAACGGGTTTTGGGGAAAATCCACCATTGCCCCCCTAGGGTCCAAGGTTAAGCTCTAAGGTCCTTTCACTGTCATGGCTCCCTTTCTTCCAGACGGACAAAAAGGACATGCGAATTAACTACATGAAATCTCCGCGCTTTAAGGTGTGTGCCAGGAGTCTCGGAAGTGGTGTCTCAGAGGATCCTGGGTGCTTGGGGACTCGTGTGACGCGGTTCCTGCCACACGGGGGGATGCTGGTCTCGCCTCCCACGGAAGTGTCCTCCAGACCACAAGCCCCAGGAGACCAGCGCGGGCTGGGTGGCACTCAGAGGTCGCCTTTGGCTGGCTGTGTCTGCCGCTTGGCTGAGCCGCGGGCATGGCGGCCGCTGTCCATGGTGATGAAGCGGCCGTAGGGCCTAGCCACCCGGGCTTTGAAGCCACGCGGGCTTGTTGCCCTCTGGTTGTTGGTCCTCCCGGGGCCATTCTGATTTCATCTCTCCACTGAAGCTAGAGACCCGCCACCCTCCCCCGCAACCCCGGGGTCCTCTGGTTTATACACTACAGCGTCCCTTTCGGGTTTCAGATGGACCTGCTTAGCCTCCTACCCCTGGATTTTCTCTACTTGAAAGTTGGCGTGAACCCCCTCCTTCGCCTGCCCCGCTGTTTGAAGGTAGGACTGATGGGCCCTCCCCGCCCCAGGCCTTCAGCCTGTCCATGCTCTGTACCTGCACTGGCACCTTAAGGTTTGCCTCCAGAACCACGGGGCGGTTGGGGGGGCATCCTCGTGGTTGGCCCAAAGGAAGATGCATTTATTCTTCGTGTGTCATAGTAGAAAGTTTATCTCAATCACTAGTACCTTTGGCATGGTGTGTTAGGCAGTGTCATTACCATCATTTTAACAAATAAAGGGACTAGGGCACAGGGAGGTTAAGTAATTTGCCCAAGGTCGCACAGCGAGGAAGAAGTGGAGTCTGGACTTGAACATAGGGAGTCTGTCTCTGCTGTTCATGCTTTCAGTAGCTAGAAAGACTCTTTTTTTTTTTTTTTTGAGTTGTAGTCTCACTCTGTAGCCCAGGCTGGAGTGCAATGGCATGCTCACAGCCACCGCAGCCTCGACTTGCTGGACTCAATTGGTCCTTTCACCTCAACCTTCCAAGTAACTGGAAGGCACATGCCACCATGCCCAGCTAATATTTTTTAAAATTTATTGCAGAGATGAGGTCTCACCAAGTTGCCCAGGCTAGTCTCGAACCCGTGGACTCGGACAATCCTCTCACTTCGGCCTCCCAAGTGCTGAGATTATAGGCGTGAGCCACTGTGCCCAGCCAGCTATAGAGACTTTTAAGAGAGGAGCTTCTGCTTCATGATGGTTTCTGTCTAAAAAATGGGGTTCTTGGCACTTGGAGAGTCTGAGTGGCTTGCTCAAGGTTGCAGGAATGAGGACGTGCCTGGGGTGGCTTTGAGTGCACAACCTGGCGTCCCTGCATCACTGGCTGGGCTCATTGTCATTCCAGCTCTTTACTAGGCAGAGCCAATGTCCCAGGGATGGTCTGGCTGGCCCAGCGAGAACTGGAGACCTGAACACTGTCCTGCCATGTGACCAGGGTGGACGGCCACTCAGAGCAGGCAGGATCCCTGGAATGGATTTTGCTGGCCAACCAGTCAGGCTCATCTCTCTCCTGACATGATGTCTGGTGCCTTTTCCCAGAAATGGTAATGAGAGAATTTACCAAAAAAAGGCAAGTGCAATCACATTAATAACAATGGAGACACAAGACAGACACAACAAGGAGGCATGCAAGCACCCTGCTGAAAAGGAAGGTACGCCTGCTGGAATTGAGCTCAGGAGCTGCCACCGAGCTTCCTGGCTGCCAAGAGGAAAGAGGAAACTGAAAGTGGCTTCATTCTTATTGGACACATGCCAGCCTCCTGGAGGCTGCAGAGGCTGCTTTAGAGCCAAGCATCTGGGTGAGGAAAGTTATGCCTCCAGCTGAATTTAACCAGAAAGTGGCGGTGAGATCCATATTGTGGTCCATATGGTGTCTCCGGGGAGAATGCATAATTCACGGATCTGACCTGTAGCATGTATCAGAGTACAGAAGTCTTCACGTGAGGCATCTAGGCCCATGGTCCTTCTGCATTCAATTTAACTCTGGATGGAAATTCAAATGGACACCTGGGGGATGACTGGCATCTCCCTTAGGGAATCATCATACATACTTTTTTTTTCTTTTCTTTTCTTTTTTTTTTGAGTCAGAGTCTCACTCTGTTGCCCAGGCTGGAGTGCAGTGGCATGCTCATGGCCACTCCAGCATCAATCTGCTGGGCTCAGGTGATCCTTCCACCTCAGCCTTCCAAGTAGCCGAAACTACAGGTGCATGCTACCACGCCTGGCTAATTTTTTTTTTTGATATATTGTAGAGATGAGGTCTCACCAAGTTGCCCAGGCTGGTTTCGAACCCCCGAGCTCAGGCAATTCTCTCGCCTCAGCCTCCCAAAGTGCTGGGATTACGAGCTTGAGCCACCATGCCTGGCCCCATACTGTTTTTTTCCAAATATCAAAAAATAAAAAGATCTAGCAGTGCACAGTGGCTCACACCTGTAATCCCAGCACTTTGGGAGGCCGAGGCAAGAGAATTTCTTTCTTGAGCCCAGGAGTTTGAGACAAGTCTGGGCAACATAGTGAGACCTCATCTCTACAAAAAAAATTTTTTTAACTTTAAATAAAAATTAAAAGATCTAAGTTCGAGAGCCTGGGAAACATAGTGAGAAAAATTTTTTTAAATTAGCTGGGCATGGTGGTACACACCTTTAGTCCTTAGCTACTTGGGAGGCTGAGGTGGAAGGATTGCCTGAGCTGAGGGTGAGGGCAATGACCTGTGATTGTGCCACTACCCCTCAGCCTAAGTGACAGAGAGAAACCCTGACTCAAAAACAAATAAATAATAAGATACTGAGGTGGTGCAGTGCAATGAGAAGAGCTTGCAGCTTGGGGTCTGATCTGGGTTTGAGTGCTGACTATCATGTGCCTGCTGTGTACGGTGGACAAACTACTGACCTTCCCTGAGTGCCAATTCTCTCTCTGTCCAAAAGCAGAAGGGCAGTACATACCCCATCTGTAAATAAGGAGTAAGGCAATATATATCAAGATATATGCCAGTCATATAATAGGTTCTCAATAAAAAAGGGTAGCTGTTATTATACTTTTATTATTATAAACCAGCCTTTGAAGGATGGAAGGAAGGGACATTTGGGATGCTGTTTACATTGTTTTCTTTATAGGTAAACATTCAAAACAGCATTCTTGACTTGGGATACATGCACCCTAAAAGTTTCATAATAGGATTCAGAAGGTCCAGAAGCCCGTGAAATGTGTGAATCGTGAGAACATAATGAGATGTTCCCAAGGGGACATGGGCCCTGACTTTCCCCTAAACGGAGTTTCTAGCCCCCACCCCTCAAGGAGCTGAGGGCCTCTCATTACGAATGCTCACTGTCCAGCCCCCTCCTCAGCCCTGGTACCCGTGGGTGTGAGGGCAGCATGGCCCCTGCCTCTGATGCCTTGCTCTTCCTCCAGTACATGGCCTTCTTCGAGTTCAACAACCGCCTGGAATCCGTCCTCAGCAAGGCCTACATTTACAGGTGAGACATACACACATGTGCACTACCATACCTGGCCTTTTTTTTTTGTAGAGACAAGGTCTTACTATGTTGCCCAGACTGGTCTTGAACTCCTGGGCTCAAGCAATCCTCCCATCTCGGCCTCCCAAAGTGCTGAGATTACAGGCATGAGCCACCATGGCCAGCCCTCATCTCCACTTCTTTGCATACACCGGTCCCCGCCCTGTTCCTCCTTACAGATATGTTTTCCCTCTGGCCCCTTCACTCCCACGGAACTCATCTGCACAGGGGCCAATTCCCGTCCCAAGTCTTGGCAGCATTCTGCTCGTGAGCCACCAGTCCTAGCTGGCGCAGGCTCACCAAAGTATCTGATCAGGCCAGCCCAGCACTGGCTGGCTCCCGCTGGCCTGGTGTCCACCCCTCCAGGCTGCTGGGCAGGGAGAGACTCTGAGGTGGGCATCGGGGGAGGTGAAGATTGCTCGTTCCCTGCAGTCCTGACCCCAGGCAGGATGTCACGGCTGCTGTCTCTGTCGCTGTGTTCATGCGTCTTGCTTCTTCTGCAGGGTCATCAGGACCACGGCCTATCTTCTCTACAGCTTGCATTTGAATTCCTGTCTCTATTACTGGGCGTCGGACTACGAGGGCATTGGCGCCACTCACTGGGTTTACGATGGCGTGGGAAACAGGTAAGCCACATCTTCCTTTTGGGGCCACGTCTAGGCCACATTCCTGTTCTCTATCATTCACAGCACAGACTTCTGGGAAGAGTCTCATGGGTGCCATGTTGCCAAGGTCACTTTACTCCTAAGAAGTCATGGAGGCAAACTCTCCATGTCTTCCCTAGACCTAAGTTTCCTGGGCACCTACCACACGCCAGGCAGGAGGGTACAGATGTGAACAAGACCTACTAGAAAGATCCTTTCAACGTTCCAAAGCCCAACAGGGCTGGCAAATCCACTGTACATGTGTGTCCACGCCCACATCCCATGGGCACGGCCAGGTGGGAGTGAGGCTGAGAATATTCTCAGGATAGCCCCCCAAGCCTCGCTGTCTTCGAGGGGCTGGCAAACAAGGTGACACCCCCTGGCAATCCAGAGACATGCCAGGATGATGATGATGAGGAGAGGATGCCAGCAAGGCTTGTGGGACATGCATCATGTCCCCATCCTATGGGGAGCGCTTTCCATGCTAACTCCCAACAGCCACGTCCAACAGGTGCCATCATCATCTCATCTCACAGGTAGGGTCGCAGATGGGAACTCCCAAGGCCACACAGGTCATAAGTTAAGAGCTGGGAGATGAACCCAGGTGGCATGGCCACAGAAGCCCAACTGTCATGCCATCTGGGCAAAAGTACCAGCCTGTGCCCGGAGAGGGTAGGGGGAGGTGGGCATGAGTGTGTCCATTCCACCGAAAGTCGTCAAAGTTAAGTTTGATCTAGGCCTTGATGG